TCCCGAGTTTTTAAAATTTCAAAATTTCGTTAAAAATACCGCAAACAATCATCATTTTTGCATTTCAATGCTTTATATTTCCCAGACGGTAAGCTGAAATCACAAAGTGTTTGGATTAGCTTCTAGCTGTTTTCTCTTTTGTTGATAACATCACTGATTGCGTCCAATATTTTATACGACTCTATCAGGGCAGAGGGACGCACCACATGCACTAGATCATGAGGAAGAGCTTCACGAGAGATACCATTGACTTAATGGCTTCGGCCGGATTGTGGAGACTCCATTTGTACACCGACCGAAAGATATTAACTTCGGGGGCACTGAAGCTGTCCCGTTGCAGGACTTCCTCAAGTGATTCCTTGGACAGCAATAGGAAGGAGTCGTGCTCCAATACATCGGACACGAAGAGATCGCGTTTTTTTGTGTCTCGCTGCTCATTTTCGTCGCTGAATTTTGTCACTTTCTTCTTTACGTTTATCTTTGTTTATGACAGGTTAAAGTATGTCGATATATTAACGAGCAATCAAAACATCGATCAGTTAAGTCAGATTTTTCAATGGAATCCAAATTCAAATTCTCGAAAAGCCCAAAAAAAAATTGTTGCCATACATTTTTCTGGTAGACAGTAGTGCGCCGCGCCGATAACGATAAGAAATCCTGCCAAAAAATAAATACCATTTCAGTTGCGAGAAATACCGTTTAAATACCATACCATAAAAAAAACCAGGGCAATCTGGCGATCAGACGAGACTTAATCCACTTAAAAAAATCCACTCTATTTAAAGAGTTGAGCACCCTTTGTTAAAGCCTAGTACTCAGATCCAAAAAAACACCTCGCGAAAAGAATCAGGGTTGATATTCGTTTGAAACCGATAAGAAATTTTTTCCGGCAAAAACGGTTTTCTAGGCTCTGTACGGTAGATACTAGAAAAGTATCCGATGGTATTTGCTGGTATTCGTTGGTATGTTGCTAGCCCCTCGAAAGTTATATCAATTTGATATATTTTGCCAGCAAACACGAAGCAAACATTGCATTATGAGAACAAAAACCCAAATGAAATATTTAAATAATGAAGACAAATAGAATCTAATTATTGCAGTATTATATGAATGACAATTATATGGATATTATAATATATTATTTTTATTAATTTTCATAAATATAAAACAAATAAACAAACAAAAAATAAAAACACTGGGCACCGAGCGGTATATATAGAACTTTTGGTGGACGGAAAATTTAGCGCGTCTTAGTACTAGGCTTTTAATACAAAATTTTAAGTTTTAGCGCGTCTGAGTACTAGGCTTTAACATAAACGGGGTGGGGCAGCCCTTGTGTGGCGTTGCATTTGCTGCGCTGTTTTACTTTGCTTCTAGATGATAGGAAGACAAGAGTACTGCCTTTTTGTATATACTATAATTATAATTAAAAGATGATTTCAATTTAATTTATTATTATTTATTGATTTAGTTCTGTGTCACCTGCTGGCTGGCACGCCGTGTACTTGTACTTGTCGGTTTCTTGTTTTAGTGCATTTGTATGTTCTGGGTCTTTGTTACTGCAATTAACGAATGTTGTACGGGAAGAGGTATCAAAATATATGTAGACCTGTGTTCACTGTGTTCTTGTTCTATCCCATTTGAATTTTCTGGTATTGGTCCTGCGTTATACGGATCTGCATTAATGCGCCGTCTATGCGGATGATCAGGTCCTTTATTGTCTGCTTCTCCCCCTTGCGCTGCATCTCCATCAAGCAGCTTGCTTTCACGCTTTCATAATCATCCCGAACTTTCTTCATAATGATCACGATTTTATAAATTTCTTCCATGTCGGTTTTGTTCTTGTGAAACGAATAAATCAAATCATTAAGCCAATTGTCAAGTCTGTTAGCTTTTTCTAGCATCATCATCTCGAGCTCTGATATCTGGGGTTTAGTTTGCTCTGCACATTTCGGCGGGGTTTCTGGATTTTCGCTCATATTTTGGCACAAATTCAAAATAGTTCAAATGCTCCAAAATTTAGATATGTATATTTCTATTTAAGTCACTCAATGACTTATCCGAGCAGCTTTGCTATTTAAGGTTGCTTTGTTCATTATTTGACTAAAAAAAATATTTCTCAAGCATTGGGTGGATCTATGTAGTACTCATGGTACAGTCTAGACGGTATCACAGCGATAACTCACTGCCTGTCTATTCACCCATTAGCTTTTTGATAAAAACTCTTCGAGTCGAGTGACAGACAGTGGGTCTTTTCAAAAGCAGAATAGAATATATTCTGCTATTCAGCACATCTTAAACATATCACAAAAAAAGTATTGAAAGTCCATGCAAAACGCGTTTCCAGCTATAATTTACGAATTCTAGAATCTTCAATCAATTTACTCTGAGAACAAAAACATGATGCAGCTAAAGTCAGCAAAAGAATCTACCACCGAAATTGGAATTTTACAATTTTAATCATTTTGATCATCTCATAGATAAACTGGCTTTTTGAATCCAAAGTTTTTTTCAGTGTGACCATTCGCTGCTTGCAAAAAAATACCCATTAAAGTTAAGCCACGTGGTCGGCAGTTCATTGCGTTTTGGTTTTTCAGAAAGTAAAATCCAAGATGGGTTAAAAACTTAAAAAACGTACTTAAAATAAACGCCAACAACTTTTAAGTAATATGGATATCGTTCATACAGGTATAAAGCTTAATTAAAAACAACCAACTATTTGTAGATGGTTTTGTGTCGTCAAAAAATCGAAAATAATCAAATTGTCTTTTCTGAGTGTTTTTCGATTTCCAGTTATAGCTTCTCTTAAGCTTTTAGTTGTGTTCCGAACCGATTCCCAGGTTCCCAGGGTCCCGGTTCCAGGTTCCCAGGCTTAAATGTCAAATTTATATGTTTAATTTATAATTTACTATATTTTATTCTTGGTTTAAACTGGTATAGGATTTTCTTTTCTAAATTTTTTTTTATTAAATATATAAATGGCTTGTGAAGGAATTGGCTGGGACCACTCCCAAAATTTTGGGGTGCGAAGTATTTATTAAATTTAAATGGCGGGGGGGTAATGGTGTGAAAATTATAGACCTGTATGTAAAGTATATCTATTTTTGTCGCCTTCTTCCATACAAGTGCGCCCACTGTGCACTGGATGCATGGGGAGTGCAGCATTGTACAGAGCTTCGAACTTTCCATTCTTCAAGCTGCTCGATTTCTGGCCATTCCCGAATGGCTAAAGCAGATGTGGAAGCTTTTTTTTCAGAGGTAGCGCCGTTTTTTCACATAACTCTAGTATCTTTCGTTTGGTTGTAAAACTTTGGGAACAAAGCGAACGAAAAAAGGTTGTACATTTGGTACCTGATCGCGTTCCTTTGTTCCCAATTGGCAGTTCGGCCCGCAATCTTCGAAAAGGTATTTTTTGTTCATTTTTTTAGGTTTGGCTAACGAATTTTAGTTCCAAAGATTCTCCATAGATTTTAATGAGCAATAATGAGCTTAAACGGGCCTAATAATACACCCCAAATAGAGGTCAAAGGGTGTAATTTTTTTTCGACTTTTCCCGAGTTTTTAAAATTTCAAAATTTCGTTAAAAATACCGCAAACAATCATCATTTTTGCATTTCAATGCTTTATATTTCCCAGACGGTAAGCTGAAATCACAAAGTGTTTGGATTAGCTTCTAGCTGTTTTCTCTTTTGTTGATAACATCACTGATTGCGTCCAATATTTTATACGACTCTATCAGGGCAGAGGGACGCACCACATGCACTAGATCATGAGGAAGAGCTTCACGAGAGATACCATTGACTTAATGGCTTCGGCCGGATTGTGGAGACTCCATTTGTACACCGACCGAAAGATATTAACTTCGGGGGCACTGAAGCTGTCCCGTTGCAGGAATTCCTCAAGTGATTCCTTGGACAGCAATAGGAAGGAGTCGTGCTCCAATACATCGGACACGAAGAGATCGCGTTTTTTTGTGTCTCCCTGCTCATTTTCGTCGCTGAATTTTGTCACTTTCTTCTTTACGTTTATCTTTGTTTATGACAGGTTAAAGTATGTCGATATATTAACGAGCAATCAAAACATCGATCAGTTAAGTCAGATTTTTCAATGGAATCCAAATTCAAATTCTCGAAAAGCCCAAAAAAAAATTGTTGCCATACATTTTTCTGGTAGACAGTAGTGCGCCGCGCCGATAACGATAAGAAATCCTGCCAAAAAATAAATACCATTTCAGTTGCGAGAAATACCGTTTAAATACCATACCATAAAAAAAACCAGGGCAATCTGGCGATCAGACGAGACTTAATCCACTTAAAAAATCCACTCTATTTAAAGAGTTGAGCACCCTTTGTTAAAGCCTAGTACTCAGATCCAAAAAAACACCTCGCGAAAAGAATCAGGGTTGATATTCGTTTGAAACCGATAAGAAATTTTTTCCGGCAAAAACGGTTTTCTAGGCTCTGTACGGTAGATACTAGAAAAGTATCCGATGGTATTTGCTGGTATTCGTTGGTATGTTGCTAGCCCCTCGAAAGTTATATCAATTTGATATATTTTGCCAGCAAACACGAAGCAAACATTGCATTATGAGAACAAAAACCCAAATGAAATATTTAAATAATGAAGACAAATAGAATCTAATTATTTCAGTATTATATGAATGACAATTATATGGATATTATAATATATTATTTTTATTAATTTTCATAAATATAAAACAAATAAACAAACAAAAAATAAAAACACTGGGCACCGAGCGGTATATATAGAACTTTTGGTGGACGGAAAATTTAGCGCGTCTTAGTACTAGGCTTTTAATACAAAATTTTAAATTTTAGCGCGTCTGAATACTAGGCTTTAACATAAACGGGGTGGGGCAGCCCTTGTGTGGCGTTGCATTTGCTGCGCTGTTTTACTTTGCTTCTAGATGATAGGAAGACAAGAGTACTGCCTTTTTGTATATACTATAATTATAATTAAAAGATGATTTCAATTTCATTTATTATTATTTATTTAGTTAGTTATTTAGTTATTTAGTTCTGTGTCACCTGCTGGCTGGCACGCCGTGTACTTGTACTTGTCGGTTTCTTGTTTTAGTGCATTTGTATCTTCTGGGTCTTTGTTACTGCAATTAACGAATGTTGTACGGGAAGAGGTATCGAGATATATGTAGACCTTTTACCGTATTACCTTTTTTATATCCACTCCCTATCGCGTTGCATCGACTGCTGTGTTCACTGAGTACGGTTCACTGTGTTCTTGTTTTATCCCATTTGAATTTGCTGGTATTGGTCCTGCGTTATACGGATCTGCTTTAATGCGCCGTCTATGCGGATGATCAGGTTCTTTATTGTCTGCTCCTCCCCCTTGCGCTGCATCTCCATCAAGCAGCTTGCTTTCACGCTTTCATAATCATCCCGAACTTTCTTCATAATGATCACGATTTTATAAATTTCTTCCATGTCAGTTTTGTTCTTGTGAAATGAATAAATCAAATCATTAAGCCAATTGTCAAGTCTGTTAGCTTTTTCTAGCATCATCATCTCGAGCTCTGATATCTGGGGTTTAGTTTGCTCTGCACATTTCGGCGGGGTTTCTGGATTTTCGCTCATATTTTGGCACAAATTCAAAATAGTTCAAATGCTCCAAAATTTAGATATGTATATTTCTATTTAAGTCACTCAATGACTTATCCGAGCAGCTGTGCTATTTAAGGTTGCTTTGTTCATTATTTGACTAAAAAAATATTTCTCAAGCATTGGGTGGATCTATGTAGTACTCATGGTACAGTCTAGACGGTATCACAGCGATAACTCACTGCCTGTCTATTCACCCATTAGCTTTTTGATAAAAACTCTTCGAGTCGAGTGACAGACAGTGGGTCTTTTCAAAAGCAGAATAGAATATATTCTGCTATTCAGCACATCTTAAACATATCACAAAAAAAGTATTGAAAGTCCATGCAAAACGCGTTTCCAGCTATAATTTACGAATTCTAGAATCTTCAATCAATTTACTCTGAGAACAAAAACATGATGCAGCTAAAGTCAGCAAAAGAATCTACCACCGAAATTGGAATTTTACAATTTTAATCATTTTGATCATCTCATAGATAAACTGGCTTTTTGAATCCAAAGTTTTTTTCAGTGTGATCATTTGCTGCTTGCGAAAAATACCCATTAAAGTTAAGCCACGTGGTCGGCAGTTCATTGCGTTTTGGTTTTTCAGAAAGTAAAATCCAAGATGGGTTAAAAACTTAAAAAACGTACTTAAAATAAACGCCAACAACTTTTAAGTAATATGGATATCGTTCATACAGGTATAAAGCTTAATTAAAAACAACCAACTATTTGTAGATGGTTTTGTGTCGTCAAAAAATCGAAAATAATCAAATTGTCTTTTCTGAGTGTTTCGATTTCCAGTTATAACTTCTCTTAAGCTTTTAGTTGTGTTCCGAACCGATTCCCAGGTTCCCAGGGTCCCGGTTCCAGGTTCCCAGGCTTAAATGCCAAATTTATATGTTTAATTTATAATTTACTATATTTTATTCTTGGTTTAAACTGGTATAGGATTTTCTTTTCAATGTAACATCCTGCACAGGTTTTTTTTTGATGCGTGGTGCTCTCAAAAATGCAGTAATGCGGAAAAAGTTCGATTAGTTGTAGATTTAATACAGCTGGAATTGGAAACTAGAGGATATGTTCCAGGCCAAGGAAAATTATTAGCTTGTGCCGATGCTGTTTGTAAAAAAATATGCAAACTGTGGCAAAACTGCAACCGTACGAAGAAGGCAGTTTTGCAGAGGCATTCGGTTTGGCTTGAGACAGTAGACGCAAGCTAAATTTTTTCTTATTAAATATATAAATGGCTTGTGACAAGAACGAATGGTGCTTATAACCACTCCCAAAATTTTCAAAATAATATTCTGGTAATTCAATAAAGTGGTGTGAAAATTATAGACCTGCTTGCTAAAGTATATCTAATTTGTCGCCTTCTTCACATACAAGTTCGCCCACTGTGCACTGGATGCAAGGGGAGTGCACTCATTGTACAGAGCTTCGAACTTTCCATTCTTCAAGCTGCCCGCATTTCTGGCCATTCCCGAATGGCTAAAGCAGATGTGGAAGCTTTTTTTTCAGAGGTAGCGCCGTTTTTGTAACGTCTTACCCTTAGTATCTTTCGTTTGGTTGTAAAACTTTGGAAGAACAAACGACCGAAAAAAGGTTGTACAATTTAAAGGTACCTGATCGCGTTCCTTTGTTTCCAAATTGGCAGTTTGGCCCGCAAGCTTCGAAAAGGTATTTTTTGTTCATTTTTTTTAGGTTTGGCTAACGAATTTTAGTTCCAAAGTTTCTCCATAGATTTCAATGGTAATAATGAGCTTAAAGGGCGCCTAATTAATACACCTATACCCCAAAAATAGAGGTCAAAGGATGCCACTTTTATACCCGATACTCAAAAAAGAGTTAAGGGGTATTTAGATTTCGTGGTTAAAGTGGATGTGTGTAACGCAAGAAGGAAACAGTTTCCGAACCCATAAAGTATATATATTCTTGATCAATCATGCATCCCGAGTCTGATAGAGCCATGTCTGTCTGTCCGTCTGTCCGTCTGTCTGCTCTGTCCGGCTTCTGCGCCTGAGTGAGCTGCAATTGTTGCTCTGCTAAGTGCTAGGGCAACCAAATCTGCTTTCCACACACATGTGTATATCAAACTGCTAGCAGTGCATCTCAAAATTTCCCCCGCCCCCTTCCACCCCCCACAAAGGACGAAAATCCGTGGCAGGCACATTTGTAAAGATTACGATAAAACTAAACACGCAGCATACTTAACGAATGCCACACACAACAGACTGCCGATTATCTTGAATCAGATCGTATATACTTATTGCCAGAATGAAGAAATTAATTTTCAGACTCATTGCTTACCCTAGTCCCCCGTCCTCAAGGAACAAAACAACTCTAAAACTCATTTTCCTTTTTCTCAGAACTTTTTTGAATTTTGCCGCGTTTTTTCGGAGGTAGCCCACACGGGTAAACTTTGGGAACAAAGCGAACGAAAAGAGGTTGTACATTTGGTACAATCCGTACATTTAGTTGTAGAAGTTGGACCTTGAAGAGTATTTGTATTTTTAGGTTTGGCAAAAAATGTAAAATTTTTTTTTTTCTCCAAAATTTCTAAAAAATCATAAGATCAAAAACGTAGCGCCTGACTGAGTACGGGTATACACCAAAGAGTCGCGTCCCCAGAAGCGACTCGCACGTTCCTTCTCGTTTTTTCTACTTTTCCCGAGTTTTGAAAGTCAAAATTTCGTTAAAAATACCGCAAAAAATCATCATTTTTGCATTTCAATGCTTTATATTTCCCAGACGGTAAGCTGAAATCACAAAGTGTTTGGCATCAACTTCTAGCTGTTTTAATTATATTTTCAAAATAGCAAAGTTTTTTACAACCAGACGTAAGATCCTAGAGCTATGTGAAAAAAACAAGCGCTACCTCTGAAAAAACCTTTAAAAAAAATACCAGTTTTCAAAAATTCGTTAAAAAAAAGTTCTGCCATAGAACAAAAAAAAATATCATCAAACCATTTCTAAGCCCCAAATCTTTAAGAAAAAGATCGTTTTGTTCCTTGAGGAAAAATCGTGTTGACTAGTGTTATTAATAGGTTCAATAGGTTCCAGGCAGGACCCCCTGCCTCAGGGAAAACAAAAGGAAACAATTTGTTAAAACACATATTCAATAATCTTTGTATATTCTCTCGCATCGTTTTCTTGGAATGGCTCGACTTAAAGCTACAAAATTTGCATACAAATTAGACAAAAACAATAAATGTACACACAATTACGAGTATGTGCGGGATGTGCGGCAAAAGTTAAATTTCTGTTGAATTATTCAAAAAAATAAAACTTAAGCTTTGGAAAACATGGTAAGGCGCCTAAGAAGTGACCCAACAAATTAATAAAAAAAAATTAATAATAATTAGGCGGCACGCACAAAATGAGGGAACTAAAGACAGAATACTGAATAGGGGGGAAAGAGAGGGAATGTGTGTGGTGTGTAGTAATAGACTAGGTCTAAATCAATATCTATAAATAATATAAAGTACGTGTGCAGTTAAGCCTAGTGCAATCATTGTGTAATTTGTGGGTTTCTCAGTACAATCTCTCGCCATTCCACCAGGTTGCAGTCCCAGCTGGAGCTCCCTTTTACTGGTCCTTCGTTCCCTTCTTCTCGCTCTTACACATGATACAACGTGGTGTTGTCGGGCTCTACCTCCACGGCCTGTACAATGAATCGCTTGCGATCCACCACATCAATGGGGGCCGATGGCTGGATATAAAATATAATAAATTTCCATTTATTAATCCAAGAAATAAAATTAGTTTTACGTATAATTTAGGGATAGGAACAGAAGCAGTGATTGATGATTGATGTGAGTAACAGGATTAGAAATGCCAGCATAAGGGGAGAGCTATGCTACATGCAGGATTTGGGGTGGGGACAACAGGACGGAAGTACTCACACAATGCAATGAAACCTTCTGGGGATCACACTCCACTCTCTCTCTCTCTCTCTCTCTTGCCTCAACACAGCTCTACTATAAGTTACATTTTTACAATAAATTTCCTTAAACCATTGGCTTCTAATTTTTTGTAGTTACGTTTTGCAGGAAAGTATCACAAAGATAAGTTAAGATTTAATTATCTCTCTCTCTTTTAAAGTGCTTACTTAAATTCTTCAAATATGTTTAACAAATTTCTTCAGCAACAAATTAGTGGAACGAACAGTGGAACAGTGTGTGTCTGTGTGTGTGTTTGTTAACGAACTTTACGAATAATACTCGACATTTTTGATCTAAAACGAAACATAAAGAGAAAACAGAAAAGATGGAGGAAAAAGAACATTTGTACATATAAACAGCAAGACCAAAAACAAATTACTTAAACTAGAACTAAAACCGAATTGGAATCATTTTTTGGGAGTGTTTGAAACGAGCCGAATCCACACGAGTATAAGTATAAGGTAAAGTTGTGGGAGCCTGTGGTTTTGCATTGGGAGTACAACTTGGGACGTAACCACAACCGAAACACACCGAACCGAATCTATAACCAATTGATCTATCCCTTAAATAATTTAATTTAATCTAGTCCCCTCCACTCCAGGGCACTCAGCGCACACTCACATCGGTGCATTTGCACTGCGTCTCATCGAAAACGGTGCCAGTGGTGCAGCTCTGATTGTAGCGGCAGGCACAGGTGCAATTGGCATCGTCCCAGTACTTGCTGTCGGCCTGCTCTAAGCACTTGTCCCTGGCGTCCGTATTCTGGCACTCGCAGCGGCACAGTTCCCTTCTGTACAGCTGATACGCATTGCAGTCCTCGGCCTTGATGCGGCAATCGCAGCGGCATGCCAAATGCTGTTCCACCACAATGATTTCCGAGACCCGCGTGGTGCCACCACGCTCGAATTTGCGCACACGCATCTGCACCTTCTCCGTCTGTGTGGGCTGGCAGGAGATCAATGTGGAGCCGCAGCAGCCGTTGCAGCGATTGATACGCGTGCATGCAGGCGTATAGTAGACATTGAAGCCACCCGCCTCATCGCTCGGCGGCTTCAGCTCCACAATGGTTGGCTGAGGCGAGCAGATCGCAGGCGTGGCATTCCGTATGGCAGCTGCAAGAGAGTGAATGAGAGCGAAAGGGTCATTATTAGAGTTTGTTCTTGGGGTTCTTAGTGCAGGAAACTAAAACTAAGCCTATAAAGTACATTACATACTATTATATATCTACATTCTTCTAGCTTATATAATAGGCAATCCAAATGATTATGCCAACGAACTAAATGACATTATTTGGCAACTTTCAATCTTTCAATTAGGATATACATAAGTTAACATGAAATGAAAGTCTTAAGCTCAGATGGAATATTTGTGCACATGGGAAAAGAGAGCAGACTCCGGTAGCATTTTCTCCCCCACTACTTATTTTACAAGCGCTGATAATTATTTTGTGTTATAACACAACAATTATTGGGGATCATAAAATCATTTTGAATATTTTTGGGATGTAAATTATCGTTTGGTTATGCATTTTTGTGGTTGAGAAATTAAAGCAATTTGAGGGATTAAAACTCCTATATATAAGGCAAATATCTACTACGAGTATTACTTATACGGCTCCTTTACAAGCTGCACAAATGTAACCCTAAGCGAATGGATGCACGATTCTACATTTTTTTCTACGATGATATCTCAAAAAGTTATCTTTTATTAGCGAAATTACTGATTTAAAATATTTCAAATAGTTTTTAAATTTGTTTTAAATGAATTTTTATGGGAAATATTCCAGAATAAGAGTAGTAGATGAAATACGATTTTTGGCAGGAATGCTCGGAACGTAAATGTGCTCTTAATGGCCTCAATATAAATGAGTGAAACCACCAAAAAACTTAACAATCTAGTAAACTGCAGTTTGAGACATGCATCTATAATCTATAAATTCGAGTGAATCCTGTCTAAAAAGTCTCCCCAGAAGACAGGCGTTGTTGACTTTTCCACAGATCAGGAATCAACAAAGATCTTACATCTGGTAACGCTGCGTTTGAAGTTTTCTGCAAGAACGAAAGGACAGAGATAGAGCGTAAATTAAGTGCAGATTCACTCAAATGTCATTCTACTCACCCTTGGAGGATATTTCGGCAGAGACATCGTAGTCGGCGGTAATATTGCTTAGGTCCGTTGCAAGTTCCAACGGCAACTAATGGAAATAAAATTAAAATCAGTGGTTTAGTTAGCCAATTGCAAGGAAAGGGAAATTTCTCATAGGTGATTGAACCTATTCCCTCCCACCATCTCTGTATGCTGAAATCGCCATGGATTCGGGTACACCCCCAAAACAATATACTCCTTAGCTGTTCCCAACCCAGTAAGTTTATGTTTCCACCTGTCACAGGCTACGTGACACAGACTTCACTTAAGGAATACATTTAAAAATGAATCAACAAAACACATTAATAAATCAGAGGATCGCGGCAGTGGCCGTCGTCTCTTAGCTCACGCAGAGGGACAACAGATGCAGCCACCACGTGGAGCCTACATGAACCACAAGGCAGACGTCCACCCGACAACGAGGGAGAGCAGCGTAACGGTTTTGCATCCTGTGGACGTCGTAATCGTCGTCGCCGTCCGGGACGTAGCCAGAAAGGAACTGCTTAAAGAAATCGGAATCTAGCGACTTCGTGTGCGTCAGCCTGCGGCACGATTCCGACGCAAGCAAGCCAAGGGACAGGACTTGCTGCAGTTGTTGGAGCAACTGATCAACGAGTTTGCAGAAGAACACGAACGCCAGCTCCAGACGGAGTCCAGCTACAAGTTCCAATCGCAGAGGGACGCAGAGCGGCAAAGGAAGTAATGAAAGGGGAAGATGAGAAACAGGGGGAGGTACAGGTACAGGACTGCCCAGCGAATGAAGTAAACCAGTTGCAGGTCGCGTAGACTGTAAAAATCGATGCAGTGGCCGTGGCACAGGAGGGTGAACCGGCAAACTACGAGGCCCGCATGCACACCTTCATGCAACCAGGAAAATGCTGAAGAAGCAGATTGAAGGCGACGAAAGACAAAAGACGAACACATAATAAATTTTCTGATATAATCTACAAAATTCAAGTCTACAAATAAGATTCGAATTTCTATCGAGTTTTAATTTCTTTTAGAACTATTTGTAAATTAATCTGTAAATATTAGAATATTATTGTCATAATTCCTGATATATACTGATGAATGTTATTTGGATAATCATTCGTCTAAAAACAATATAACAAAGATGCACACAAATATTCCCTCTGCGGGTAAAACTTGTTTCCTTTTCCGTATCCTTTTGCTGGATATTTCTTTATTTAAAAATCAGAACGGTTTCCCCCCTTGGATAGCCGTGCCAGCAGTGGCAACTGGCAATATTATTAGAATTGTTATTAAACAACTGTGACAACACGTACAAGAGATCGCTACAGCAATCATTAGTCACCTGCTCTCCTATCCGCGTCTAAGCTGCTGCTCCCTCTCTGTCTATTCCACCTTAATTGACGTAGATACATACACACACACAATACATACGAATTCACAGATGTACGTCTGCGTATGCCATTAAAAAATGACAGACGACAACTGCATAGAAATGTTGCTATCTCCAGGGAAAAAATAGCTTGAATCTCGAACAGTTATTTGTGTTTTATATCTGGTGCTGTCGTGCGTCATCCCATAGCTTCTGTTTCAGTGAAGTGAGGGCAACGCCACGTGCCAGGTGCTTTGACCAATTGGCACGGCATCGTCACATCATCGTCATCTCCAACGTAGTAGCGGCGCCAGTTCGGTCCGATCCGATCATTTGGCCATGATTCATTAGCGGCCCCGGAACGAATCGGAACGGTTTGCCATTTATTCACTCTCTTGTGTTAATTTTTATCACAGAGAAAGTTCAAGGCCAACAGACACGACTACAATCGTGAGGAAATGCTTAAATGCTTAAACCAACTTCTCAGACACTTCATAACAGTCTGAACTTCTGTTTCTGCAAATAGGTCTTGATCTGTTATCAAAAATAAATCATTCAATGATTTTTTAATGAAAGAGAATCGAAGATAATTTGATGGGAAAATTTTAAGATAGATTTCCTGAGGCATAGGGAAATATAAACAACATAAATACATAGTCCCATATGATGTGTGAGTGCAGGTATCTGCAGTACAATGTGGCAGGCCTCTATAAGAATTGAGGAATCTCAAAATTAGCAAGATGCCAAAAGCACTTTCTGTTGCTTAAAAACTATAGAAAATTGATCTTACAATTCACAATAAAATGTAATAATACGAACAGGCCGAAAGGTTAGGCCTGTAACACCTGAATTAGAGAAAACAAATTGCCGTCGCACAGTGGGGCCTTAGGCCATTTCGGCTTGCTAAATTGCTAAATGAAAAAAACTGCATTTTAAAAATTTTCTATCGGATTCGTGTATTCATTTTATCCAAAGCGTTCAACAAATTCATTGACTTTTGCCACCTCTTTGTGGCAGAGTCCCCACAAATTTGCGTTATTATTACGAGTATTATTCAAAAATCGATGCTTCCTGCAAGTTAACTACAAATTCATATAAAATCTTAGATTAAAAACTTATTCTTTTGTTTGCCATATAATTCGAGAAGTGAATCATAACTAAGACCCATTCATTCCTATCATTATGAATCGTCTCCAATTACATTGCCATTTACTGTTTCGATAAGAAAACGTAATCTTCTGATAAATAATTAAGGCTTCCAGGAAATGAATTGCGGCTTTCTATGTAATCAGTGTTTTATTTGTGTATTTAGAAATTGATCCTACCAGATGTTTACCCAGTAAAGCCAAAAACCCTGCTCTATTATTCACATCCGCCGCAAGGGGAACCCAAACGAAGCAACGAGCAGGTGTGGGAGGAGGCAGAGGAGGAGTAGTAGAAAGCAGAGCTCCACTAGAAGGTGGAGCCCTGCACCGTTTTGTTTATCTTTGAATTGACGCAAACAAAAGCTCTGGGCACACGATGTGGGAAAGGGAATGGGGATGGCGGAGACGTAATGCGAATTATTTGTTTTGGAATCAAGGCGATCGCTATCAATGCCACCAGACGCAGAACAGAACCCCAGAAACAACACCCAGAAACCAGTGAAGCTGAGACAGAGGCTGAGACGATGACAGGCGACGGCAGCGGCGCCACTGTCCATGGGAATGGATGATGGGGTTGAGGGGTGGGGGATGATGGCATTGGATTGGGGTCCGAGTTGGGGTTGTGGCTTATCAAACTGCAAACAAATGCGATGATCGCTGAAGGCTGACCCAAATATGCAATGTCTCTAGGCGACGCTGTGGCGCCACCATAAGAGCTGTGGCGCCACTGCATATCCCCCGACCACACACACACACACACACACACACCTCGGAACGAGAGTTATTCTGTTGTTCCTTCCACTCTCGGTTCAAATATCTTATACTTATTCCATCTGTCCAAATATCTCCTCCTACAACTATTAAATCTAATTTCGCTCTCCAGAGTACCATCGAATATTCCTTCTGGCGATCGCTTTTGGAAATTCCCTTCCAATCATCATTTAAATATCACCTCCTTCATCTGCTAAAATATCCCCTCCTCCGTTTCTCTGTTAAAATATCCCCCTCTCTGTAGGCGTGTAAGTCCACTCACCGTTACAGGTGTTCCAGCATCTGCGGCTGCTCCCTGGCAACAGCTTCCCTCATCCTCTGGAACTGCCGCTGCTTCTGCTGCCCCTGGCAAGGCTGCAGAATTTGTCTGCCGCAGCAGACGCACCTTTGTCTGTGAGGCGGCATCTAATGAGGGGGTGGCCGCCGCTGCCGCAGCATAGAAGAAGCGGGGCGAGGGCATATTGGTCGAGGAGGCAACAGAGATGCCAGCAGCACTGTTGGCGATTAACAGCAGCAGCGTCAACGTCAGCAGCAGCGGTAGGCGATGCGTTGTCGGAGATTTGGTTAGTGGCATGGCTAAGTGTGGTTGTGAGAGGAGAGCGAGCAAGAGCGGGTGCTCTGTTAAGTCTTCGGTTAACAGTTGGTGTTGCTGCTTCTGTTGCGTCTTCTATTAAAGCTTCTGTTGCTGCTTCTGTAATTTCGCTGGAATGAGAGTGAGGGCGAAAAAAGGTAAGGTGAGAAGAGAATCTAGATTGTACTGCTCTTGCAGGTGCTTATGTCAAAGGTAAAGGTATATTCACAAAAGGTGAAGCGTAACCATTACCGATGTTTTAGTTGGTTCTAACCACTATATTTATTTTATTTATTTATTTAATTATTTCTCTTTTTCTAAGGCTACAAGAATTTGGACTTTGTTTTTTTTAATGTATCCCTTAATTGCAGTGCATTACAAATATTCTTAAACTGTTTAACGTGTAAAAGCATTTGTGGGCTCGGCTCTCCAAATGATCTACCGAACTACATACATATTTATGTATTATCATATATCCATCCGACTTCTCGCATGTCTGGCATTCCCTCATCTTTTGTGTAAATACATACATATACCTTGCTTATGCTTATGCCGCATCTCATTTGTCGGGCTATTTGTTTGGCTTTGTGGACGGCATGATTTATGATCTGATTTACAGCGCCGATGATGATGCCTGGACAGGGCGAGAAGACGTCACCAGAGATGTGTCTGTTGTTGTTTATTTGGTGGTTAATTTACTTTTCTTTTGACTTGCTGCCTAATTTACAATGTCAACTCTTTATTTTTATTTTTCATTTTTTGTAGTTTACAATGGAAAAGCATTTGCGGATGGGCTGCAGGTGGGCGGACGTACACATTTACCGTTTGAATTGGGGTCACCTTCTGAATCCGCTTTTTGTCGATGTTGTCCAACAAAAAACTCTTTTTTTTATGGCTAACTTGACATTGATATAAAAAAAAAACTCTTATCATAAGCATACAAAAAAAAAAACAAAAGACAGAGGACAGAGGACAGAGCCACGAGTTTGAGTATGCGTCAGGCATATCAATCAGACAATCATCCGGAATGATTGCATGAGGAACGAGTGGGGGGGGGGCCATAAATAAATACTCATAGAAAAAGGAGTGTGTGGTAATCAACCCATGGGATACGTCTTAGTCATGTAATATACCTCTTGAGGAATTGCTAACAGAAGGTTGGTAGCTCCTCCATCTACGAGTGCACTCATTTTTATGGTAGGAAACTATTCACAGAACAACTTATAGCTCTTTTCCGCTTAGGTGCATATGCGTCACCAGTCACGTTGATACGCTATTCCCATAAGTGAATTGATACTTTTGCTTCAAATGACATGAACGGAGAGCTGACGGTACGAGTGACTTGGGATTATTAATAATAATGCCAGTTTTTAAAGACATTGTAGAATAATTGAAGGCAAATCATTTCTGTGAGTTTAAATATTTCCATTTCCAATTAACAAATGCTACTCGTATATGGCGCATTTCTTCCCTAACTACCAAAAACTATATACCCATTCAACTCTCATTTATGCAGCATACCATTGGTGGAACATTGCAACGCATTTTGCCTATGAATGAACCACGTTTGTTTGTCGGTGCGAGCCGTTTATTTGTTTGCTTCTTTAATTACACAGCACAGACTTTTTTTGACTCATAAATCAGAAAGAACTTGAAGCCAATAGGCAAACCGGATTTTTATATGTCTATGCAGGTGCAGGGAGGAAATATCCCATTCGATTTCCTGTCTGTATTAATGGATCCTTCATGGGTAAGCCCGAGGTGTGATTGGAATTAAATTGTTCCCTGCCTTGGTATAAAGGAAACTTAAGTATTCTTGTGTAATCCATCAGATACTCTTGGTACACGTACTGTTGATTTCTTTTGTGGTTACCCTTCATGCGGGTATTAAACAATTCTTTAACAGCAGATGGAATTTATTTCATAGATCATAAAAAAGTATTACAGCTTACACTCGTTTTTAATTCTCTTTCAGAAAAGAGAGATCGTATTGAGGATCTCATAAATGGTATTCCATATATAATAAAGAATACAGAGCCAAACCAGATACATATTTCTTTCATCATAGCTCTGTGAAATGTTATTATTGTTCAAATATATATCTAGTCCCATAGGAACTATCGATTTGCAGTGGATATCTAAGGCAGAAAGCCATATACTATGTATATACATATGTATATGTATGTACATATATATTTCCAAGAAACATCGGATCTATAAGAGTATTTAATGCTGCGGCCTGTTTTTTTTTCTTTTTGTGTTTCAACGAATTTTAATTTACGCCTTTTACATTTCATTATTATTATGTTTTCTCTCCTCTGTTGCCTTTTATGCCCCGATTGCAATGCAAGGCCCCACCTCCCCTGTGCTGCCTTGGAGCCTCCTCTTCTGTCTTCTGTGGGCTGCTCAAATATGAAAATTCTTATTATAGGTCAGTTCGCGATCGCGTTTCCCTTTCAGCTCTGCTGTCGATAGCATAATAAAACTCTCGTACGACGAGTGTGTACCCCCTGATAATGATATTTTTTGTGTGTTGTTTTTGTTGGCTCAAGGCGGTTTATCAGCCTAACGAAAATACGTACGACATATGTACATATAAAATAGAAAGAGTCAGTGATTTGCCATTCATTCATAAAAATGCAAAACAAAACAGCAACAGCAGGCAGCAGCAGCAGCAGCAGAATGCCAGCGAGACAAATTGGCTCCCCTATGAAGCAAAAACAAAAGATCACAATAATAAAACACTCGATATGCGGACTATACTATAGGATACTTGCTACTCTGATTTATACGCTGTGTGAAATGATTGGCACTCTCACAATGGCAGAAGTAAATCGTATATGGTAGATAATAGTTCTGTTTATTGGTCTATCAAATATGAGCTTTCTAGCTTAAAATTTCGATTTACCATAGCATTTTCTTTATTGACATTACTTGATTTCCCATAAATTCCGACCTGTTTATACAGACGATATCTACTGGATACCCGATTAGATATAGGGTAGCAGTTGTCCCCCGAAGTACCGGGTATTACGAACAAGAATTCGTAGAGGGAGAAATCAAGTACAGCCCAAAGAGAGGCCACAAACAACAGCACAGGAAAGGAGATAAATAACCCAAAGAACAAGAGCGAGTGAGAGAGAGAGAGTGCAAAAGCGCAGTGCAGTGCCTGCTGCTGCGAGAGATCCCGCTGTTTTAAAAATAGCTATACTCTAACTTAAATTGTAACGGTGCGGGCGGTGCCAACACAAGCAGGAGAGTCAGAGAAAGAGAGCGAGAGGAGTTTTAGAGAGCAAAAGCCATGGTCTAGGCGGCGCAAGAGTACCTGCTGGTACAGGTACTGTAGCTGGAGGTGGATTTACGCCCTTAACTGTTTATTTGTTTTGTGCAATCATGAGACATACACGCACGGTCACACACACACACACTCTACTGATATCACAGCCTGTGCTGCTGCTGCTGTTTCCATTGTTTCTTATGGGGGGGACCGAACAGTTAAGCAAATACCGATTGATATGGGAGAGCCGTAAGCCAAAGCTGCTGCCTGTCGCTGCTTTTGTTGTAGCTTTTGTTGCCGGGCATTGCTCACTCGCTCTCTCATGCACACGCACACCTGCGTGATTCATTACGACATTCCTTTTTTTTCATTCTTCGTTTCGTTTCTCTTGATCTTTTTAGAGCAGCGGGGTAATTAATGGGAAGGAAGTGATAATGACAGTAATCTCTGGTGGTTAAGCTTCAAAGGAGTGCAATTCCGAGAGCGACCCTGAAAGGTCTTTCTGCCAGAATTCATTTTAAGGAAAATAATATTGCAATTAACTCAATAGGGGAACGCCAGCCTGGAGGCCTTCGGCTCCTGTTTTGAGATTAGAAACAGCTGATGACTGCGCACTTTGTTTTTATTACACGAAAATGTCACGATTCCTTTTCTTGATCACGTTCTTAAGTTCACAAAACTCACAAACAATGTAACGTAAAGGTTTTTCTCACTATTCCCAGTACCATAGTTACCATAATTATATTTTCACTCATTTCGATGCATTCGATGAGATATATGTATGGGTCACCATCTCTTGTACATGGCACCTCTGTCTGTTCCATTATAGCAAATGTCTCAAAAGGCCTTGCTTCGCTCTAGAAATTTCCCATAAGTGAACGGCCACTACATATAAATCTATTTAACATTAAACAGCTGTTTAAATAATGAAACACTAACAAAAATATTTCATACCAGTGTCAACGTAAGCTACCTATTTATTTACAATTCCCCCTTTAAGTTCTTTGAATTTAATTTGAGTCGTATTTGTTAATCAAAATGAATGCGATTTGAAGTGAAATTGAAAACCGGAATGTGTTCCGTTATGGTTTAACATTTTGTTTAGATTTATGTATGCATATGCATGTCATCTGCGGTAGTTCCCTAGCGAACCCCCCATTAGGTAAAGTAAATTAATGTGATGGCAAGAGTATCTATCAAATGGCTTAACTACTTAAAATCTCATTTAATGCCCCCGTTAGAAGGCAGACCTTAACCTGATTGCACAGGGGGGAAAAAAGCTTGCCTCGTCGATTAATTTTTGAAGTCATGTCACGCCATCCAAACTATTCTTAATTCTATTATTTTATATCTGCCATGATAATAGATCTGTTTATATGGCAACTCTATCGAATATGGGGCCAATATCTTGAGAAACACTTGCGTTGACGTCTCTTATCAGTTGTTGATTTTCTGTTTTGCCAAGTGGGTGAAGTGTTGGCGAGGTGCCGATGCCGATGGAGATGCAGAGAGCAAGAAACATCGACATCGATTTGGGAAAGGGGAACTGTGGTGCGGGGAGAGTGGAGAGTGGAGTGAAGCAACGGAGACAGTGACTGCACAACTGATTACAAAATTCAGCACGTTTTTAATTATTAAATGCGTTTTGTGTTCATTGGAATGTGTGGTGTTTTTTTTTTTTGCGCTGTTGCTTTTGCAGGTGTTTTAGCGGTTATTTTCTTTTCGAGGCATCGGCCCAACGGTGCGTCATTGCTAAGGTATTTACCGAAAGGGAGACTGTAAGATATCGGAAGAGAGCAAGGGAGAGAGAGTGAAGTGAGAGATGCAGAGCGAAACATCGAGAAATTAAGCTCGAAATCGAAAGGATTTACAATAAATATTCTTTAATGCAAAATGCTTGTGTACGGAGTCTATGAAATGTCTTCGGTTATGGAAGATTCCCAATCGGTGAGCTGTCCCCCCATTCGAATGCAACACACAATTATTGCCTAAGACAGAACCAGTTGTGGCGAATGTTCTCCTGTCTCCGTGTCCGTTTGACAGTGAATCAAATTTGTGACAGTTAAGAGAGCTTTTTGCTTGCGCGAATTTTCACTGTGCCGCCAAATACCACCGAGTATGAGTACGAGTGTACCTACTTGGGCGGTCCGGTCCCCATTCTGTGGGACACCAAGGAGTGCCAACTTGTAATTGCCCCAAACAACAACATTCCACAGACAGGCAGACACATCGGGAGGGAACGGCAATGGGAACTCTGGCATTAACGATAAGAAGGGGCAGAGACGCAGAGGGTACAAAATAAGGAGACAGACCCCGTCTCAGGGGAGAGGTTCAGTTCCAAGATCCATTCTGGAGTCTGGAGCGTAGGGCTCTCGCAGGCAAATCAATTACAATATAGGAATAAATGATAATTCCTCTGACTCTGGGGGGAGAGCTGCAACAAAACAACAGAAAAGCGAGGGACAGGAGGTTAACGGTTTCTACAAGATAAATTATGGATTTGATGCGCCCCCTCCCACCCCGCTGTGATAGAGGCGAGTGGGGTTGGGTCTAAAAGTGCTGTCTGGAATGTGAATTAAAGATTAACCGATATTCAACTTTAAATGTAAGACATTCTTTGGAGTTTGTTTACATTTATTAGGGGATCGATTAATTTGAGAAAGGCTTCGACTAAACGATTATTTGTGGAACATTTTAGTTGAGTTAAAAACTGCTCCTTTTACATGCAAAGTCAATTTGAATATGTATGTATTTTTATTCTTATATTGTATTTGATGTCTCTTCAACTATTGATTTATTTTCTTCACCTTTTCAACTAACAATTAAATTGTTAATCTTTCGATTAATCATAGAACATATTAGTGATTGTTTGAGTAGAGTGCAAGTTCTAGTCAACTGTTCTGGCAGTCGATCTTGCCTCTTTTAGTATTAATTTTACTTAGGGACCATCTAGTGATTCAGTGAGGGCTATGACTGAATGATCCCATCTACATCCCTTTGTTTTGGGTTAACAATTCATTGAAATCTTTTTTTTAGGCTGGATTTAGTTTGTATACGATTCACATGCAATGTGATTTTCATTAAAGCCATGTTTTCAAATGCGTTGACGGTTGGGAAGAACAACTCAAGCGCAACAATTTTCATGGGGGGTTTTCCACACCACTCACAGAAATAAAATAGCAACCACAATAACAACAAATTAAGTTAATTACAGTTTGTACTTTTTTTGTATTTTACTATTTTTTTGCATTAAAGCCCGCGACACAACGGAATCTGTTCTCGTTTCTCTGTCAAAAGCTGGTTTTAGATGCCAAAAAAAACAAAAACACACAGAAACAAATGCGATATGAAAAAGCTTTTTTTAAGGCCCGGCTCGACTGCCTCTCTCGCAACTAAAACAAACAAAAAATAAAACAAATGTGGAAAACATTTGAAAAAAAAACCAACAACAAAAGTTGTTTCAGTTTAAATGTTAACAGAGGCTTGAGGGTCGTCGCTTGGATTTGATTTGAATTTATTATTATTCTTATTGTTTGGTTTTTTTTTTCGGCATGCGCTTGCAAAATGTTGTATAATGTTTTATCACAAATTGTTATGAGTATTTCGATTTAATTGAAGTTGTTTAAATAACATGTATGTAGGTTTACTTTTTAAAAGCCATTTTAAAAAATTGTATTATTGGTTTAATATATTTTAAATAATTTAATTTAATTATGATCACGATCGGAAATAACGGGATCTAATATCAACTGGATCAAACTGTAATCTACTATGTAAACTATCGATCTGCAAGGGTATTTAAAGCTTTATATAAATTAAATAAAATTGTTTTTATTTTTCTTTAGCACATTTATTTATTATCTATAATTTATTCTTAGAAGCAGTTGTTATCATAATTATTTATATTTAATATTTAAGCACGTCTGGCAGATTTTTTGTAATATTTGTAAGAGTTTATTTTTAATGTGTTAAAATTTCTTTTAGCGAATTATTTGTTTTATTGAAAATATCTTGAACAATTTATAAACAACAATACGTTTTCAGTAGCCTTTACTTACTGCAACAACAAGAAAAACACTCAAAAAAAGTGCACTACGAAAATTGTCAACAGACTGGCGGAAAAACAGTTGAAGCACAACAAAACACACTCGAAAAAAACCAAGAAAATTCGAAAAACAAAACAAACACGTATTTTCTGTTGTGATTTGTGAGAAATAACTACGACGAAAAAGACACGGCGGAGGGGAGAAGAAAAAGCGTTGGACGGTGTATGCGATCCAGACGCCAGCAAGTTCCGTTCAAAACTGTCATATCGGTGTGGGCCAAGTTTTTATTTTTTGTTGTTTTTGTCATGTATTCGAAAAACCCCGCGATGGGCGCCCCCAACCATAACATAACGCTTGTTCTCACCCACTGTTACTGTGGCTGTTACTGTTACTGCAACTGTTACGCTCTCCCTCGCTCTCCGGCACTCTCAGCGGATCAGCGCGCTGCAGCGGCTCTCGCGAGCGGAGGCTGCGAATCGAAGAGAGCGAGCTGGTGCTTAACAGTTGTTGGGGCAGTTTTGAGCCCTTGACAAACGAGACAGCAGCAGAATTGGTGTTGTCGACACAGTGTAATGCTACTATGTATATATCACTAATTTTCTTTCTCCATGGAGTAGGACACATACCTTTATGCGTGCTTCTTGATGACATGCTGCTTCAGATCGACGATCCGACGGAAGGAAAAATTGCACAGCTGGCAAATGTGTGGCTCACTTCCCTGGGGGGAGCAGCACGCATGGTCGTTGAGGTGGCAGAGCTGGTTGTAACCCTTGCCGCAGGCGGGACACAGATAGGGACGATCTTTAACGTGCCTGCTCTTCACATGCTTCTTGAGGTGATCGACGGTGGTAAAGTCCGCCTGGCAGATGTGGCATACATGGCCGCGGATCAGGACATGCATACGTTCGAGATGTCCTCGCAATGCCCCGCGAGTTCCGTGCAACTTGCCACAGAAACAGCACTCGAGTGAGCTCTTCTGGTGTGTGTCCTCGAGGTGGCGGATCAGGCTCATGCTGCCCGGAAAGCCGTTGCCACAGATGGGACACACATAGCCGCTGGGCTTGTGATCGGCTATGCAGGCCTCCTTGTCCAGGTCCATGGGCCAGCCAAAGGTGACATCGTCATCCCAGTCGACACTCGGCAGTATATCATCGATGTTCTCCTCCAGCATTTCCAGCTCCTCGGTCTCGTCCACCTCGCTGTGGGTTTTCCTTGGCGCCAGATCGTGCGCCTCCTCGGCATGTGCCTGCAGCGCTTCCATGTTGCTGAAGGTCTTCACATCGTTGCGGCTATTCGCACACATGGCGCAGTAGAAGAGCGAGTGCACGCCGTGCCAGGACACCACGTGCCGGTAAAGGAACGTCGTCGAAGAGTACCGCTTGCCGCACTGCAGGCACAGGAATCGGCCGTCGGTATGCTTTCGCGCCAGATGCCGCTCCAGCACCTTCTCGTCCCCGAAGAGGGTCAGGCAGTGCTTGCAGATGTGGAGGCGCCACAAACGACCGGCACAGTGTTGCTCATGCTGCTTGGTCTTTGGGTACCAGCGAAAGCTGGCCAAACAGAAGCCGCAGTGGTACAGCCGCTTGGTCAGCTTCTGTGGGGGCGATCTCTGGGCATCCGTGGTGTGGCCACCACGTGGCTTGGGCTTAAGCGGTTTGCCACTCATCAAATAAACAATTCGACCTTAAAATTTTGTAAGCAGATTTTTCGAGTTCAGTGCTGTAAAACGGTGAAAATATCGCGTTTTCGATAGTTTAATCATTTCATTGATACCGATAGCATCGTTTCATTATTTCATCGATAGTTTCATTGTTCTTTCATTGATACCGATAACATTGTTTCATTATTTCATCGATACAAATACCAAATATAGTAGGCTAGGCCGATAAATTACACTTATTAATTATATCAATACTATCAAATCTGATCTACTATTATTTCAAATTTATTTGAGTCAAACATATTTGGGACAACACAATTTCGTTAAAAATAATTTTATTCAAAGTGAGGTGAGTATTTTGGGACTGGGCAAACGTATTTTTCATTCAATTCTGCATGGTATTTTGCCACTTTCAAATTGACCGCCAAACTCAATTTAGCGCACCAAAAATACTGACATTTTTCGCTCTCAATTCGTGTAGAGTTTGCAAAACTCGCTCTCAATTCGTGGAGAGTTTGCAAAACTCGCTCTCAATTCGTGGAGAGTTTTCAAAATTTGCTCTCAATTCGTGGAGAGTGCTCTCTTTTCAGTGGAGAATAGAGTGTTTTTGTGGAGACTTTCCCCTCATTTTCGTGGTGTGGCAGCATGCTGCTGAAATTTTTCCCATACAAAATCAAATGTATCTTACGGGAACGCGTATGGACGCAACAATGAATCTTTATTCCATACGCGTTCCCGTAAGATACATTTGATTTGTATGGGAAAAATTTCAGCAGCGTAGGGAAATGAAGTAGCAGCAATGTTGTGCAACTTTAGCACGGAATGAGCAACAAGTCTGAATACCTTGGGAAAATGGATATTATGGACTTGAGATATTGTTTGAATTTTCAGGCTCCAATTAATGCAAAAACTATTCCATCTCTGTTCTAAAGATATTAAAAAAGTTTTGCAGCTCACGGGTTCCAATAATAGGTATCAGAACTGGGATAAATGTATATATAAAACACAAATATATTCATTAAGAGGTTAAAAACATGTCAATCTAGAATAAAATCATTATTAATATTTCAATAGAGCTTGGAACATTAAATTTAACATCAATTAAAGGAAATAAGGTATACAAAAATCCATACGCATAGAAGAAACTTGGTTGACCAGCAACATGTGACGTCACATTTAGTCAACATTTACGTTTTATGCTTTGGCCGTTTTTGTTTGAACCCTAATATGTAAATAATCCAATAAAAAGGACTTCTGAAAACTTGGCAATCTCTTAAAAAATTTATGTATCTATCGGATAAAATTATTTGTTTAGTGTTGAGAGGGCCAACTAGCTAGTAATATTAAACGGAATATCAAATTCGAGGAACATCAACGTTGAATGTTAAAAAAAAAAACAGTCGATACTATCCTAATAGTATCGGGCTCAAATAACTATTAGAAAACCATTGAAACCTATTAGGAACTTGTCCATTGTAAGAATTAGATGCCACCTGTCGATTTGCTTACAAATGTGTCTTCGTATTATATATAGCAACCGATCCAAACATATCAAAAGCGCAACGACTGTAGCTCGATACTATCATGATAGTCGCAAAACCGTCGATAGTAGAGACTAGCAGTAAAATATCGATACTATCGATGGTGCCCTCGATGGTTTGACACCCTACACTGTTGCATTTGCAGCCCACACAGCCCAAAGAGGAAAAGCAAAAATAAAAAAGGCAGAAATGCCAACAAAATAGTGGCATTAACTGCATTTCGGTACATACGAAATTAATTTTCGTGTGTGTGTTATCCCTTTCAAAACAGTTGTCAGGCTCCAAGCAGCAAAACCAGCAGCAGAAGCGCTGCAACAACAGCACACACAAATCCACACAAAACAGAAAAACGAAATGAACGAGGAAACCGTAGGGGAACCGAGCGAGAAATCTGCCTCGCAAAAAACTGCATCACCGTCAACATCGATGACGTTGGCCTCGGCAGCCTTGGAGCCAAACGACACTGTGACTGCTGCTGGACAGCAGCAGCAGGAACAACGTCCCACTACAAGTGCTGGGCCGCCCACAACATCGGCCGCCCATCAGCAGCAGCAGCAGCAGGCGTCGTCCACTCCTGACGGCGGGCCGCAGACCCCAAAACAAAAACCACAGCAACAGCAGCAGTTGCCGCCGATGCCGCAGTTGAATGCAAATGATATGCGCGAGCTGCGCGAGATAAAGCAGTTGTTGTGGGGCGATAATGTGCGCGAAGATGTATTCAAGCGTTGGTCTCAAGGTAATCATGCACCACCCACCACCCACCTACCTACCAAACCGAACCAAAAACAAAAAAAAAACACCCACCCATCCCACTGCACACCACCCAACGCCCCTCAAATAAAAACAGCCAAAAATGAAAAAAATCATACAAATTATTTTGCGCGCCCTTTTTTAACTACTTAATTTGTTGTTCCTTTTTAGGATTTGAGTTTAGTGATTATGAGCCGTCGGCATTGGTGCAAAAACAGGGCGGCCCTTGTGCTGTGATAGCGCCCGTTCAGGCGTATTTGCTTAAGATAATTACCATGGACACCCACGAGTTTCGATTGTCGGAGGTAATTAAAAAATGCTCTTTTATTGATGTCTCATTTCATGCTTATCCATCCATCCATCCCCTCCATTCCTTTCAAAGATAACTCCAGCAGAGTGCAAGCGTCTACTCATACAGGCCCTGTGCAATATTTTACGGAATTGCCGTGCCCCACGCTATCGTCTTGTCCAGCTGCATCGCCATCGCATCAGCAGCGACAACCAGGCAACCAAAGAGAGAGCCACCACGTCGGGAAAAGCAGCAGCAGCTGCAGCTGCAGCTGGTGGGGGAGGAGCTGGAGCTGGACCCAATGCGAATGAAGTGGATGAGGAGGCCGAAGAGGCAACACCCGAAACGGTGGAGCATCTTACAGGGAAAGACAATAAAGCTGGACAGGCCTCGTCCCACCCTCTTTCGGATCGTGATCTGACTCCCGAGGAGTTCCATGCGCGTCTCTATACGCTACATTTTCTCGATGGTCCGACAGTGGTGCGATACTTTGGTGATCATTACAACCAACTGACGGACACCTATGGCGTGATGCTCTTCATGTATTCGGTGTTCCTTACCAAGGGCATTGAGCTGGTGGCCGCCGATATATCCGACACCTCGGAGCCGATCATACACAGAACCTTTGGCTATGGCGGCCAGTCCATGATAAATCTAATGCTCACGGGTCGTGCCGTGGGCTATGTATGGGACCACGAACAGGATGTTGGCGGCTTAAAGTTGAGGGGAATTTGCGAACAGAGCGATATTGGATACATAACGACAATGGAACAGATGCGCTACTGCACAGTCGGTTCGTTCTACAAGAATCCCAGATATCCCGTCTGGGTGATGGGTTCAGACACGCATTTAACTGGTACGAGAAAATACCCTTCCCTGACAAATGAAACTATCCATATTAATTGTGTTTATTCCCTGTTGCTTTCCCAGTGCTTTTTAGCCACGAGAAGAAGCTCGTCTCACCGGAGACACCCTCAGAGCATGGTCGTCGCGTGTTCAAGTCCTATGATCCGGAGGGTAATAACTTTATAGCCTCATCCCTTCTACGTGAAGTATTGGCCCAATTGAACCTTGTCAGCGAACAAGGATAGTAAGTATTAACATCCGATCTCCCCTCATGGAAATGTCTCTCATTTATCATTTTTTGTGTGTGTTTTCTTGTTGTATCTTGTTCCCCCTCCATTACACAGTGTTAATCTCATGATGAAACGCTTGGATCCAGAGAATTTGGGCATCATATTGCTGAATGCTTTCATGGAGGAATTCTTTCCATGCGAGCGACATTCCGCACCCGATACCTTTGAGCTAATGCACTACAATGGCATACCAGGCTCCAATGACAACAACAAGGTCGGTTTATATGTAATTACTCTAATGATTCCTCACCAATAACACTAGCTAACAGCCAAACAAACCAAAAAAGAACAAACTTAGCATCAGATAGACTGTTAGATGGAGGGCTACAAAAATTTTAAATGCATTTTTTTGTAAAAAGATTTTAAATTTGGTTAATGATTTTGGCTGAACCAAAAGATTTTCTGACACGCTACCTTAATTAACCTAAACTAATCTAATTTAGTTAAGTTTTTCCTAAGTTTTTAAAATCCAAATTTCGATCAAAAATACCACAAAAAAGCTTCATATTTCACAGATGGTAAGCTTAAACCACAAAATGTTAAATGTTGATTCATTAGCTTTTTAGAATGGCTAGAAAAAAAAAACAATTCATTAATTAATGTTAGAAAAAGTAGCTTTGAAGGCCTAAGAAATAAATAATTATTAATTAGGGAATAAGGAAGTATTTAATCGGATCTTTCAAAGCCGCCCTAGGAACAAGATATCAAGAAATATGAATAAGAAAGAAAACGGAATGGAAATTCCCAATAGGTGTTTGAATGGTTTTGATGGTTCTAAGGTCATCGATTCTTTTGGATTGATAGCCATCCTAGGCATATGTAATAGGGTTTTCGTAAGTTCTGTAGGATTTTCAAAGACCAAAAACATGTCGCCCCTTTAATAATAATAATAATAATAACTAATAACACCGACGTACCCTGTTCCATTTTTATAGAAGTTCCAACTAATTATGTTTGGCGCAGCACTTTGGTGGGTGATATTTCCCATTTAACCCCTTAAAGTCAGAATGTCGCGTCCAGAGCTTCTTATCCAGGAGCAAAAGTTTCTTGACCAGTTTTTGGCATTTTATAGGCATATAAAGTATTGTTTACAATTCCACAAACTTCAGGATTAATATTAAGACAAGGCTGTTTGTTGCTTGAGAGCACTTGACTCTTTCATAATTATAATTTAACAATATTATCCGTAAAAGAATTATTTATATTATTGATTGTTGAACAAAAAGCTCAGATCAAAGGGAGAAGTTGGGAACAAGGACGAGTATTAAGGGATTAAGGGGATACACGGTGAGCATTTCTTGAAGTGATCTACGGGATGGGATAAAGGTGCTTTAATGCAGAGATACATACAGACAGACATAGATCGTGTTCTAGATCACACGTTTAAATATGTTATTTTGCCGAAGCTTGGTCTCACACGTGTTGCGCTTCATGCAGCAGCGCCCCTCAGTCGAGAGAATCTTTAATGAACCGAACATGCGCGATGTTTGGTGTGCGCTTTCACTGAATACCTTTTTAAATCGTTGTAATGAGTACTTTTCAATAATTTTCGTTTACTTTTATAGGTGCGCTACTATTGTGGCTCGGCCATTCTACTAGAAGGGGATCTGAAGTCGATTTGTGCTTCAAATCCGATGGTGACATGCCTCCAGACCAAGTGGCCGAACATCGAGATCAATTGGCATGATCCCTGGCATACACCATCACTGAATTGACATCGCCAGCTGCCAGCAGCAGTCGCAGCAGCAGCAGAAGCAGCAGCAGCCGGTGGAGTAGCAGCAGAAGACGCCACAGCAGTTGCAAAGCAGCAGCGAAAGAAAGAAAAGAAGCGAAAGCATAAGCAGAAGCAGATGAAGCAGTAGAGGACAGCAAACACACAAAACTAAAGCAGACAGACAAATATAAACACATTTGCCTGAATCGGGAAGAGACAGGACAGGCGACAGACAAATGCACACAAAAAAATTTTGAATTTCAAAATGCTTTTCAAACAATTTGTGGTTTATGTATTTATTGAAAAGTAAGAAGAAGAAAACAATAAAAAAAAAACAAAGGAGAAAAACAGTTAAAAAATGCACTCTGGAAGAGAGCATTTTGGAGGAGAACAATAAAAGGAATGGAAATAAATGGAAAGGAGAATGCCAAGCGTTGATTCTCCCTACCTCCACACCACACACACACACAAACACACCCTTATGCATAGCTGTATGCAAAAATATGATTAACAAAAAGAAAGAAAAATATATAATAAAACAAAAACAAAGAAAAAAAATGGGAAAAAACAAAAACTTATCGATGTATAAAAATCCACAAAAACTAAAAATATATTCAACAAAAAAAAAAAAAGATAATGTACGTTTCAAAAATGGAATCTTAAAAAACAAAAATGAATTACAGGCAACCACAAAAATTGTATGGTATTAAGTAAGACGTAAACACACAGAGAGTAGAATGAATGAGACAGAGACAGAGAGATAGAGCTCATAATTTATTTGAGAATTAGACAAAAGATAGAGGAGGAATTAAGGAGCGAGAGAGAGAGAGAGCGCGTAAGGAGCACACACAGAGCATAAGAGTAAGAAACAAGAAGCTATGTCGTAGAGTAACAAAAAACATATTTGTTCTTTGGCCTTTTAAACAAATTACTTGTAGTGTTAAACAATTTAATAAAATTAAACAAAAACAACACACACACACACACAAAAAAACTACTAACATCAATGTGAAAGAGTATGAGAGGGAGCGTAAGTGTAAGCGTAAGAGCTAGAGAGAGGTAAGAGAAAGATCAAAGAACAGAATATTTCAAAAATAAATTTAAAAAATAAAACAAAAACAAAAATAAATAGAAATTAACAAAAATAATAATGCAAATTTAAAATAAACAGAAAAACAAAAAAATCGCACCTCAAATTGTGATTTATTTTTAAAGAAAAAAAGGAATTAATGGGAGAGCAGAAAGCGAGATAAACCAGAGAGACATAAATCTATGTATGCATATATTATGTGTAGAGTATGTCATATGGCTACATACATATAGCATAAAGTAAATGCAGTTTATTTTATAAAATCATTCGCATTGAATAGGAAATGAGAGAAACCAGAGAGACATTGAGTACTATTGAGTATGGGGATTTGGGTTCTAAGATTTTAGAAAAAAGGGTACACCACGGTTTCAAAAGTGAAAATACACGGATTTAATTATTTAAGTCATTGCGTATAATAGCAAATGGGATAAACCAGACATACATATATGGTGGGGTTCTTCGAGTTAGCATTTTCAAGGGCAGATATACCATGTCTAGATTTCGACCCTTAAAATCAACGAATTTAATGTTCAAAATGAATGTACTTCGAATTAAAATGGTCCTAGTATTCTAGTATTCTGGCACCTTGTGGTTGCAAGGATGAGAATTGAGTCGCCCTAACGCGTTTAATACAAATTAATTTTTGCCATAACTGGAGGGCATAATATACCCAATATTCCGTTCCCGTTTCCGTCATCTTCAGTTGATCGTCTCCTATTCCATCTCAGGCCACGCATATGGTTGCTACGTGTTATTCTCTCTCGTACGGATTCCCGTTCTTCTTCATTCATAACGGAAAACCGTCTTATTGTACTATTCAGACTAAGGATTGCGATTAATTTACAATTTAACTTTGCCATTAAGGCACCACAATCCACGGGTTTCGCCAGCAAACTTCAATGCCCCACAATGCTCGAAAACATGCGTGCCACACCAACGCGGTGCTCTTCCAGTGCAATTTATCCTTTGTCATCAGTTAATTGATTCGCCATGTTCCGTTGCCTAATTGCTCCGTTGGGAAAGATTAGATCCTCTTGTTCGCGGCAATGAATAAATCTTGCACTCCAGCAAATCAGTCTGGTTAATATCGTAGCTGATATTCAATTATTTTATTTATATTATTTGTTTAGTAAGGATACGTTTGACAGCCCTAGCGATTTTCCGAGCCGCGGTCGATTTTTCCAATGTTTTTAATAGTTATTCTGCTATTCTAAAAGGAGACAAAACCATGGAAATCGGTCCAGCCGTTCTAGGGTTATAAGTGTTTGAGCACCAACCGAATTTCTGTTTTATATATATAGAAGATAGGTTTACAGAAGGAAGGATATTCCTTAACGTTATTTATGCTACATATAATATCATTATCAGATTATAAATCCATTATAGCCAGGAGCATCTTTCAATTATCTATTATTTAAGCTTAATCTTCTACAGTAGGTGCCTGTATATTAAGGATCCTTAAAGAGTTTTCATTCATGGATCTGGTTTATATGCTTCATTCAAAATTTAACTTGCTAAAGAGGGAAATATGTTTTGCGCTATTAGTTGATGTTTTTATTTGTACCTTTTTAAAACTGCTGTAGACAGTTGCTATACGTATTCGGATCTATCAAAACTATGTTGATCTTTTGCAAGAACCAGTGTGTCTTTTTGGAGGAGCCTTCCCTGTGTAAATTTTAGCTGCTCATAAAGTTAGTAATTCGATCTATCAGGAAAAGCCGCTGCTTTAGTTTTATCCCTGGTACTCAGTCAGATTTAAGAATATTTTATTTTTCCGCAATTGTTTTTAATTCCGCTACATCTGTATGCTAACTCGATCTCCATCGCCAGAGGACGCAGATTGCACGAGGCAGAGTGAAAGAGAGAGAGAGAGAGAGAGAGGGAGAGATTGACAGGGAGAATGAGTAGCCGCGAGGAAGGGGATAGCGTAGCAACTGAATATTTATCTGTTTATTCTAGCTATAATAATGATTCGATCTGATCCGATTGGACAATCTAGTAGATATCAATACCCGTTTAGAGGCTGCGTTATAGTCGGTGGTAGAGGATAACCGTAGTTGTTTATATATTTATATATATGTATAGTTTTATTCATTGTATAATCACACATGGAATATTGTAGCCACAAATTGGAGAGAACTATTAGAAATAGGAATACAAGTGGATCAAGATAAAATGTTTATTAACAACTAAAATAGAATAATAGAATATGGTTCGGTTCGGTTCGGTTCAATTCGGTTCGGTGATTTGGAACCATTTCGTAAGCTTTCCTTTCGTTTAATTCTAGTTCAATCTCTGTCTTGCCTCGTCCACTTCCACTTGCGTTTCCGGTGCAGTAGCTGCTGCTGCTCGCGCTGGCCACCCGCATAGATTTTCACATCCAGTCGGTAGGTGGGTGCGGCCTGTGGCCTGGCGCGACGACACTCCCTGTGCATCGGATCTCATTTGACGTCGAGGCTGCGCTGGAACATTTGCATGGCCAGATGCCGCAGCCCCTCACCCACCACGGGCATGTTGCGCGGGAATTCGCATTCACGTGCAGGCAGGCCACACAGCTGCCGTCGCAGGCGAAGGTCCTGGCGAGCACAGAGCGCTCGACTCCCCGGTCCGCAGACATTGCCCATTAGGCGCTGACGCTCGGCGGCAAGGCCGCGTAGGCCCTGCTGTACGCAGGCCATAGGCGCAAGTTGATCCGTGGCCAGAATGTCGCGATAGTCGTGCAGCGGTGAGGCACGCTTAAGTGAAGGCTCCTCCTTTTTGATGGGCAGATCCTCCGGATCGGCGGCCTGCTCCTCCGCCAGCTGTTGCTGCAGCAAGGCCTGCTCCTCGGCCAACCTCAGCTGTTCCTTCTCCTGAATGAGCTGCTGTCGGGCTTCCTCCATAACATGACGGGCGTATTGCTCGCCGGCCATGCCAAACGATATGCCCATGTCGAGTATCAGCCGATGCGGCTGCCAACGCTGCTTGGCCGAGGTGCCACGGTCCACGCCCTGCTGCTGTGCCGATTGCTCGGCCTGCTGCCTGGTCTCGGCAATCAGGCCCTGCCAGTCCACGCCTAAGGCATCGCCAATGCCTGATAATACACAGAAATACAGAGATTAGTGGGTGGGGGGCGGGAGTTCCTTCTTGGATGGGGTTTTTATTCTCACCTTTGTGACGTGCATCCTCCTCCAGCTCACCGTCGGATATCTCCTCAAAGTCCAGCACCTCGTCGACCTCCTCCACCTTGATATTGCCCCCATTCAGTCCTCCTATGCCGGTACCCGTTGTCGTCGCAGTTGAAGATGGACTCTCGCTCTTCACCTCCTCCGCTGTGCTTGGCGAGAGTGTGTCCGTGGAGAGCTCCTGTGTGCCGGCCAATGGATCCCCATCCAGCTGCAGCTCGTCCTTAGGCCGCACAGCAGCTGCGCCCGCTGTGGGCTGGCTGCCCAGGATGATCTCCGTTGTGTTGAGTATGTCATCATCGCTGTCGCTGATCTCGCTCAGCTCCTCCGCCTCTGGCTCTCGTGTGGGCGGCCGTGGCTCCTGCTTGATGATGCTGCAGCCCACCAGCTCGTTGCCGTTTGCCGAACCGTTGGGCGACTCTGAGTCCTGGGTACCCAGGCTCGGGGTGCTCATCACCGAGTCCTCGGAGGCATCCTCCAGCTTAACGTGGGTCGTCGGCTTGCCGCTCACTTGGCCCAGTATGCCCGGATTGGTGGTGGCATTGGCGGCACTCTGGGCAGCCGCCTTGGCCGCTGCCACCGCTGTTGTGGCGGCTGCCACAGCGCTGGCCTGTGCGGCAGCAGCATTGCCGGGCTGCGGCTTGCCCCCCGGCCCCGACAGCTGGCACTGCAGCAGCGGTGTGGGGTGTGTGGGCGACACGAGCGGCACATGGATGTGTTTCTTGAGAAACGATGAAGAGCCGGGCGGGGCGCCTCGATCACAGCCGGGTCCACCGCCGCCGCCATATTGCATCCGCTTGTGGGGAAATCCCCGCGAGCCGCCGCCACCACCGCCATGATAGCCGCCCGGTGGCTGCACAGGCAGCGTCATCAGCGGTGGGGGATGCGACCTGTAGCCGGGACCACCACGGGACTCTCCATGATCGCCATGGCCATGGCCACCGCGTCGGAAGCCCCGCCCGGAGCCGCGTTCGCCACGCGGATGCACATGATGGTGGGGCGACGGGGGATGCGGATGGTTGGGTGGCGGTGGAGCATCGTTGGAGCCGCCACCACCGCCGCTACGTCCGAAAGGCTCATCGTTGTCGCGCCAATCCCCGCCAGAGTTGGACTGCTGCTGCTGCCAGGAGCGTGGCTTCTCCCGCTGATCGTGCTCCAGCCAGGCGGGTTCGTTCTTGATGATGACCACACCGCCGCCGCCGCCACCTGCTCCACCGCTGCCATTGTCGGGTCTGTCATCCCGGGGATCCCGTTCACGTTCCCGCTCGCGTTCGCGCTCTCTCTCACGGTCTCGTTCCCGCTCGCGCTCCCGCTCATCCGCATCCCAGTCGGGCTCGGAGGCGGAATGATGCTGCTGGGCCGCCTGCTGTGGGCCAGCGCCTGGATGTGGCAGCGGCTTGCCGCGCTTGGGGCCGCCCACAAAGCCGGTGGGACGGCCGGGAGTGCCACTGCCACCGCCACCACCGCCGCCCCCGGCACTGTTGCCGTCATCATCCCAGTCGCGCTCCCACTCCGGCCGGTACTCCCCGCGTGGCCCCAGATTGCGCTCTCTGTCGATATTCCGCTCCCGCTCGCGTTCACGCTCACGATCGCGGATCACACGCTCCCGCTCGTCCGGATAGAGGACCTCCTCGGGCTCCACCAGCTCCCGGTAGTCGCGTCCCTGGAGTTCGCGCTCCCGCAGCTCTCGGGCCTCGATCCAGGCCTCGCGTTCGCGCGACGAGAAGCGCGCATCCATGAATGCCCGCTTGTAGGCCCTGCAGAGACCAGCAGATTAAAGAATGATCACGATAAGGCAGGGAGGGAGGTCTTCCTCCCGCTTGGCTTACCTTTCGCGCTCCTCCTCGGAGTAGAGATCGCGTGGATCACGCAGGCGGGGCACATAGTGCTCGGCCAGGGGACTCAGCTCGCGGCGACGATAGCGACGCATCTCATCGATCAGGCCATGGCCATGCCGCTCCTCCATGTACTCCTGTTCGCGCTCGTACGGATCCAGTTCCCGCTTGTCCCGGATATGGCGACCACCACCACGCTCGCGCTCCACAGCGTCCAGGGAACGTTCACGGCTGGCATATGGCGGCAGATCCAGGTCGCGTCCACCAATACCACCCCCACCGCCGCCCCGCTTGCCGTCATCCTCCTCCTGGCGGCGCAGTTTCTCGCGTGCTAGTCGCTCCCGCTCCCGCTGTCGCTCCTGGCAACGGGCCAGCGCCTCGGCGCGCTCTTTATCCCGTGCCGCCTCTCGCTCGGCTCGCTCTCGCTCCCTGTCCCGATCCCGACGATCCCTTTCGCGCAGCGACAGATCATGGCGCTCTCTCTCGCGCTCCCGCTCTCTGTCACGCTCGCGTTCCCTCTCCCGCTCCAGGGAGGCAGTGCGTCCGCGGGCACGCGTCTGAATGATGATCTTCTCGCGCGACATCAGCTGGTGGTGCATGCGCGACGAACCGGGTCCGGGATGACCGCCACCGCCGCCCGTACCATTGGGCCCCAGGCCAGGGCTCTTCTGACGCTTGCTGCCCACCACATCCTGATGGATGCGAATCTTGGTGGTGGTCGTGGTGGAAGAACTCGGTGGCGATCGACTGCTGCCCAAGCGATGATGATCCCGCTCCCGATCCCGCTGCACGGCTCGCAGTTTCTCGCGTTCCCGCTGCTCCTTGCTGGCGGCACGCAACCGCTTCCGTTCCGCCAGTTTCTTGAGCTTGGAGCGCGTGGCCGGCGACAGCGAGCGATGAACATGCCCGCTCAAGGCGGCGGCGGCACGCTTCTTGAGTCGCGCCTCCTTCAACTTTCGCTTGATGTGATTCCGCTTGGCCACCAGCTTCTTCTGGACATGATCGCGCTTGTCCCGCTTCCGGCGCTGGTGCTGCTCATCGCCCGACGAGCTGGCCGCCCGCCTGCTGCTCTTCTTCTTGCGATGGTGACGCTCCGCGGTGCGCGGATGATGGCCGTGCGGATGCCCATGGCTGTCCGCATGCCCCGTCTCGCTGTCGGTGCTGCTGAACGAACTGCTGCCGCTCTCCGATTCGGTGCTGCTGCTCTCGCTGCTCGTGTGCGTGGCATTGTGGCGAGAGGACTTCTTGTATCTTCTCAGAGTGTCCTTGGTCTTCTTCTCCATATGATAGGATCCTTAAGCGTGGGTCGAGTGGAAATAGTTGGCCCGGTGCCTGGTGGGCGGACAGAAGGCCGCCGCCACAAACGCAAACGAAAACAACCTCCTGCGCCTGCCACTTATGCTTCGCGGAGTTTTGCTTTTGAAATCACTTAACGTCTTTTCCCGCTCTCAAATTGTTATTTATTTATGTTATACTACTTTGTTGCCACTCTCCAGTTTCTTTTTTTGTCTCTTTCTCTTTTTTTTCTTCCTCTACTAGGGATGGGTTATTAAATATATAAATGAGTATATCAATATATCGATATTTGAACTGAACCCTTAGGCCACATTAATATTGATTGTTTTGTGGAATGTATCATCGACTTCTGAATTCGGGGCAGATTCACACTGTTTTTGTTGCTGTTTTATGTTTTTATATCATATTGCAGCGACTTTTTGATTACACATATCGATGCACAGAGTGTAGATAAGAATATCGATATTTTTGTGCGATAGACACAACATATTTGATAAAGAGCCGCCATACAAATCAAAATACAATTTATGTTTTTTTGCATTTTGTTAATTTAAATTATATATATGTACAAACAATAGTCAATATTATGTAAGTTGGATCTCCCCTTATGCAGCCCTTTGGCTACGTCTCGTGCGAGAGCGCCAAACGAAGTGTGTAGTCTGGAGTCTTACTGCTGGGACAACAATAAATAAAGATATAATAAATATAACTATGGAATACGAATACCTTTTTGTTGTTTGCATTTCTGTACTCTTGTGTATGGGGAGGTGTATCATTCTTGTAGATACATATTTAAATAATACTCAAATTTTGATCCCTTCTGCACCAAGAACCGATTGCAGATAACGGAGAAGTCGCGGTTGATGGCGCTCCTGAGGGATTTAAAATCAATTTAAATTTTAAAATATTCATTCTTAGAAATATAACTTTACCTGTCAGGAATTTTGAGACATGATATGCTTCTGGCCCAGAGCCATTTGAACAGGCCTAGGTCCTCAGGCACCGAAGGGTTTTCCTTAACGACACATATATTTTAATCCAAACGAACACTGTCACTTATCCTACCGTTTTGTTGTAAAGTCGAACACACACATTAAAGTGAAAAACGAAAATTATATATTTCCGTGACAAGACCCGGTGAGTGGGTTTAGCCACGATTCTGAGTGATTTATGTATGTGTAAACGGAGAATTTGGAAGCCAAAAGTTTTTGGGATTCGCCAGCCGTTTTACAGACTTTCACGAAATTTTCAAAATTAAACACAAAATTTAGAACAAAATTGTCATTGACTTGTTCCGACAGAGCTCAGAACAATAATGAATACAATAAAGTAAGTTCTTCACTACAACTAACAAATTTGTCTGTGCTATGCGATTCAGTAATTTTCAAATATTCAAAACGGGTGATAAAATATATCGATATACACTGGGCTCAAAAGAGCGCTACCAATTACAGCGATGTGGCAGCACCTGCCACAGTACACAGCTGGTTGCTGACTCAATTTTGACAAAATACACGTTAAAACTATAAAAGAATCGTTAATAATCTACCTAAAACGACAAATTGAATTGGCAATTTCCGCTTTTGAAAGGCCGCTTCGCATAAGGTGCCCCATTGAGTATTTTAGTACGGGATTGTGGTTCTGTATTGTCAGAGATTCCACTCTTTGGCAACTATTTGGCGGCAAGCGTTATTTATTTATGCCAATTATGCCGAATTATGTACCGTTGCCACATTGGGCCAGAAAGCCAAAATTTTGGCATAATTCGAAAATTCAAGATAGAGACTTGGAACGAGGTACAGTTGATTCTAGTGATAGGTTAGGTTAGGTTAAGGCGGTAGTTGTAGAGAGGGGGAAATCCCGTTGTGATGCCGCATGGGCGTATACCCTTTCTCCGCTACACCGTGGTGAGCAATCTGATTGCGGAGTTAAGGGCAGTCCCATCCGGCGATTGATTCTAGTGATACACTGAGATATTTTTCGAACCGATTCGACTACGCCCACTCCCGCCGACCATATAAGATGCACTTTTTATACCCGTACTCAAAAAAGAGTTAAGGGGTATATTAGATTTGTGGTAAAAGTGGATGTGTGTAACGCAGAGAAGGAAACGTTTCCGACCCCATAAAGTATATATATTCTTGATCAGCATAAATAGCCGAGTCGATATAGCCATGTCTGTCCGTCTGTCTGTCTGTCTGTCTGTCTGTCTGTCTGTCCGTCTTGTTGAGCGCCTAGATCTCAGAGACTATAAGAGCTAGGGCAACCAAATTTGGTTTCCACACTCATGTGATATCCCACTGCTACAAGTGTATTTCAAAATTTCGCCTCGCCCCCTTCCGCACACACATAGGACGAAAATCTGTGGCAGGCACATTTTTAAAGATACGATAGATACGTATCGTACAGAATGCCCATATCTACCAGACCCTATCTAAGCTGAAATCACAAAGTATTTGAGCTTAACTTCTAGCTGTTTTAATTACCTTTTCAAAATAGCAAAGTTATTTCAACGAGACGTAAGATACTAAAGTTATGTGAAAAAAACAAGCGCTACCTCTGAAAAAAGCTAAAACAAAAAATACCAGTTTTCAAAAATTTTTCTAAAAAAAGTTCGGCCATAGAGAAAAAAAAAAATATTATCAAACCATTTCTAAGCCCCAAATCTTTAATACAAAGTTTGTTTTGTTCCTTGAGGAAAAATCGTGTTGACCAGTGTAATTTAATAGACATTAGTAAATATACACTTTCTACTTTAATTTGATATATTTAGATTTTGCCGCTAGCTGCTGCGGTAGTAGTTGTTAGCCACAATAGACAGGCATGATGGTTAAGTTTTGTCTAATTTTGGAAACAAAAAACAAACTGACACATATGAAAAAAATCTGTTTTTATATAAAACTAGCTGACCCTGCAAATTTTCGTACTTACGCTTTGATGAACGTAAAACAATGATACAAAATAATATACTTATATAGATAGAACCAAAAAAGTATTTTATTATGATGAATGATAATGAAAACATACATACAGAATGAGAATAAAAAAAAAAAAAAAAAAATAATAATTAAGTACTTCAAACGCATGTCAGAAAAAAATGATTGAAAACTATGTTGTGCAGATTGGGGGAAAAAAAATAAAACTCGGATTAATTCATTAATAGGATTTTCATTCAACCACTTTGTGGTAAACGACATTCTTTGTTTTCTGGTCAGGCGCAAGAACAAATAAAGCGGATGGTTTGCCGACACGTGAGCATGCCACGTACAATTGACCATGAGAAAAACATGCATTTTCTAGATTGAGGCCACAAATAGTCAAGGATTGGCCCTGTGATTTGTTGATCGTCATGGCGAAGGCAAGACGAATCGGGAATTGAATTCGTTTAAACTCAAAGGGCATATCCGTTGGGATCATCGGAATCCTTGGAATAAGAACTTCCTCATCTTTAAATTTTTCTTTAAGTATCGACGCGTGAATCACATTGCTCATAAGTTTTCTTATTACCAAACGCGTTCCATTACACAGTTTTGGTTGGTTTAAATTTCTAAGCATGATGACTACCGAGCCAACTTTAAGTTTTAAATTGTGCGGTGGTAAACCAGGCACATCCAAGGAGTTTAAAAATTCAGTTGGATAATTAGTGACTTCTTCTTCGTTTGTTACACAGTCGATAGATTTGAATGAATACAGAGTACCTACGATTTGATTTTGAATTATAAAATTGAGGTCATCTACATCTTTATTTTAAGCGGCCAAAATTGCTCGCTCACTTAACCATTTAGTATTTTTGTGGTTAGCAATGATATCCGGGAATACTTTGTTGATAAGCTCGTCTTTTGATGATACGAAATTGCAAAAATTTGGAGGAAATGAAATCAAACCGCTCGATTTGTCAACAGGAACACGGCCATTACCGATAGTCAGCAATTGCTTCGAGAAATCATCAGCAGATAGATCGTTCAACAATGCAACTCTCATATTTACAGACAGTTGAAGTATCTTTAAATATCGCCACAGATTCGATGCTTTGAGGCAAGCGTTTATTTCGTCGGCAGCAGTAGATCTTGGAATGACTGGTAGTGTTTGTCGGAAATCGCCAGATAATAAAATAATTGCACCACCAAAACATCTCGAGTCATTGCGCTGTTCCCGTGCAATTTCTCGTTCTCCATCAGATAATTGACTCGCGATATTCCGTTGCCTAATTGCATTACGGCTTCGCCTGGAAAGATTAGATCTTCTAGGACGCGGCATTGTTATTAAAATGTGCACTCGCATAAAACCACCAAACTGATTTTTTATTCCTTAAATTCCTTTCCTTTCCGATGATTTTATGTTTTTACTGTAGAGTAAATCTTAGGTATTATTTTCGGGAATTAAAAATTAAATAATTAATAAATAATTTTCGAAAATTAATGTCCAAAAAAAAAAAACAAATATAACAGTACCTGAACTTTGTAGACATTTTACAAAAAATAAATTTCTGAACGCACACATGATGTCTTCAGAAAAAAATAAAGTAGTGGCTCAGCAACCAGGCCATAAGCTCAAAAAAAAAAAATCGAGTTTTCATTGTTTTTAAGATGTATTCTGCTATTCGGGACGGAAACAAATCCAACAAATCAAAAACCATGGCAATCGGTCCAGCCGTTCTCGAGTTATAAGTGTTGTAACAAAAACAACATAGCCCGGCGTTTCTGTTCCATATTTTACATTCACCTTTTCCTAAAATTTACAAAACTTACAAGCTCACAAAGTAAAGAAAAAGATCGCCACTTTTCGTATACCAACTCGTAATTAAGCGAACATCTGACTTTGATGGGCTGCCAAAATTTCAGTGCAGTATTAAAATCAAAAATATGTATCCATTTTTTGCAACCATACAAATTGTATGTAAACCGCACATTTTACCAAATAAAACCAGTGCTCATCGAAAACACAGTAGCTGAACATTTATTTGGTGGAAATCCTTCCGCCAGTAAGAATATCTCTGAGGGATAACTTTAAATTGCTTTGCAACCGATCCAAAGGTTGAGCATCTCCGGTAGGCATAAAAAAGTCCTAGTGCTGATTCTACCTATATGTACGAGTATATCTGTATATTGTAATGATGCAACATGCAAAAGTGAGCAAAATTTAGTTGAGAACCTTTTCTTAGAGTTTTTCAGACATAATTTTTCCGATGTAAAACATTTATGTAGATAAATAGCAGATTATCAATATTACGATTGGACATTAACACTTCGAATGCTTAGAAGAGTTATAAATACCTAATTAAATCAATCAAAATTTAAGGCAATTCAAGTTTTAAGATACTTCTATGAATTCTTGGCTAATACAAATTTGTAAATAAATTTACAATCTTTATAGCAGACAATCGTCATCAATCGGAAACCCATTCTCTGGGGGGGCTGGGACATCCATTGGGCAGACTTCTTCGATATATGCAGAGGCATGCCATGTGGGATTGGGACTGTTGCATGAATGAAGAGTCTTTGTGGATGATCAGTTCAATATGTCAATAGATGCAAGATCCTCTTAGATCCAGAACCATATATTTTCCATATTGTAGTTTGATCCCCAACTAAAATCGAATTGCCACCGCAAACGGCTTTCGTTCTGATTGATTCTGGTATTCTAAATCAATAAAAAATACATAAAATTAATCGATACGCCCGTAAAAAAGAATAGAGGGGCAACAGAGGAGTCAACAGAACTACGATTGCATCAAAAGGCAATTGATAATCCCACTTGCCCAGCTGCATTTCCCCTGCCCTGTCCCAGTCCCTGCCGCCGACCCACCCAATCACAATGACAATTGATTTGTACATCCGCTCATGGGGCTCTGGGCACTGGCTGGAGAGTTGCAATCAGTCGGACAGATACAGCAGATCCCAACATGAATGAAAATTTAAAACCCATAAATCTTGGCGACTTTATACTATCGCACTGCTGCACACCCAGATTGGTGGCAATCAAATTAACTACTGGCTGCAAACTGCAAAACAGGAAGGACAGTTGTCGCCCCGGCAATGTTGGATCGTTGATCGTCTGGATCATAGGCTGCAGTCCCTCCCTACCTCCCTACCTCCCTCCCTCCCTCCTTCCTTCCTTATACTCCTCTGACATGACGTGTCTGCATGGGATCCACATCCAATCCAAGCTAATTCCAGCACGCGTCTATGACGAAATGTTCCAGCAACAAATGCCTGCCTGCCTATGCCTGGACTGGTGTCACCTGTCCAGACGTCAGCGGCGGCTTAAGAGCTCACCTCAAATGGTTGCCAGGCACAGTGGGGCAGGCAGGGCAGGGCTGCTCCACATTGTCAGCAGCATCGTCGACACCTTGACAATGCGTTGCAGCCAAAACATAATTTGCTGCAACTATTTTCTGAGAGCGCGTGTGCGTCTGTCTGTTTGTCTGTCTGTCTGTCTGTCTTTGGTTGATGCATTTATTTTTAATAACACTAGACAGCAAAGCACTCAAAGCAGAGGAGGATCCATTCTTAGCAGAATAACCCATTTGGCTATAGAAAATACTTGTGCGCTTGCAACAAATTTGGCATCGGCGAGTCGATATTTTACAGCTGGTTATCGATTGAGTGCGCAAAGTGCGCTCGATAAATCGTGAAAACTATGCAGACTGTACAGTCTGTATAAGGTTCCCTAAGAATCCCACGATGGATGAAGGAAACTGGTAGAAAACCGTGGAATACTTCACTGGAAAATGCACTTATTTTTTTTTTTCTATTTGTTGGTTATAAGAATTTAGAAAACCTATCATTACATTCGTGGTTACCATATATGGTAATTTCAATTGATTAGAAATATAGATTGGAAATACATTTTCATAAATTTTATAAATTTATTAAATATTAACTAATTAAATCAGTTTGCATATAATCTCATTAACCTTTATGTCAAAACCTATCAACATCAGCAAAAGTAAATTTGTTCGATACTTTTTTTTTGCTTATTTTCAATTCCATTTTTTTCATTTATTATTATCTATTAAAAGAAATATAAAAGTTCTAACACAAATTCTTTTTTAAATATTCAACTAAATATCTGGCAAAAAGTCACATACAAATTTCACAATATCAGTTAAGTTAATATTTTTTAACTTTTATTAGCTTTTATTAAAAGAGTATAATTATGAGTTATTATTTATAATTAAATTCCTGCAATTTAGTCGATTCCTCACTGGCCAAGTGCTTAATGAAAGGATCTAATGGATGATCTATAGAAGAAACTACAGTACCTCTATCAGGTTGTGCAGTGTAAATGACTCTCTCTATCTTTCTCTGTCTTTCTCTGTCTTTGCCTCTTTCATTGTTGACAATGTCGTTTGTCGCCTGTGATATCTGGACGGCAGGTGCAAACAGGCGCATTGCTGGAATTGCCTTTTAATTGTCTCTCTTTGGCTCCTTCTTTGCAGCTATTTTCGTTGGGGATGCACCACACCAAAAGAATGGAATGGAACGGAATGGCTGGCTAGGATGGGCAGAAGCATCTGGTTGGAGTTGGAACTGGCAGCAGAATAAGAAGATGCTCGTCGCTGCAGCTTTTGGTTAATCTCTTGAAGGCTTGCCGCTAAGGCTTTCATCTGATTTGTGGCTGTCACGTCACGTCCACGTCATGTCGATGGAGTGTTGTTCGAAATCGAAAAGAAAACAAGTTGGGGAACGAACGAACCCCTCAACGGGCGATAAATGAGAGGAAAAGTTTAGCTGGATGTTAATTCTTTTTGGGAAATGGCAAAGAGCGAGCTTGGATATCTGCTTTTTACTTGGCGGAGTAAAAATAAAAGTGCAAGTTGTGTAAATGAGAATGGGGAAAATGTGACAAGATATCCCCATCCATGTTCCATGCCCCATTCCTTTCCTTCTTTCTTTACAAATTTCCCCTTACAATTTTCGCGTAGATCCCGACGTAGCTGTTAGCTGACAAGTTCTCTTTTTGGCTGGAATGGGGGGGCTCTGTGTTTTTTTTTTAAGAAAACATCCCCCTACCATACCCGCACTGCCGCTCTTTGGGTTTCCCTTGAAACAGAATTTTGCGTTTGGCATATTTATAGACTTTAGTGCCCTTCTGCTGCTGCTGTTGCTGCTGCTACTGGAGACCGTTTTCACAGTTGGTTTCCATTCAGCTTCCCTCACGAATGCAACACCCCAGCTTCAGCTCCATCCACTTGATCGCTGATCTCCATTTGCCTTCTCCTCTGTAGTTGGAGCGACAGAGAGTGAGCGAGCGAGTGAGTGAGTGAGAGATCTGTTGAAGTTTCATTTGTTGTTTTTTGTCTTGGGTCCCTCTGGTGCAGACACGAACATTAACATTGCCACTCGTACTCGTACAGCATGTTCCCCACTTAATTGCAACAAGTGCAGAAATAGCAGACAAAACATTGATTTGCTGTTGATTTCTTTTCTTAGCAAGAACTATTCGGGTGTGGGGAATAATGCCTGGAATTTGTTTGCAAATGGGGATTATTCAATTCAAGTGTTGCAATTGGAACAAGATTTTCTACATATATGCCGAAGCTATCTGTCCGCCTATAAGCAGGATCTATTTGTGGCTAATTCCAGGCCTGATTTCAGGTCAAGACACTGAACACGGTGCTCCTGCAGATACTCCATACTGGAGTACTCCCTTGTACCAGGAGAAGCCGCTTCGAGTGCTTCCAATCAGCGATTGTCATGGCACCATTCTCTATATCTCTATCTATTTTTATTGGATAGTCAACCCATTTTAAGAATGATAATTAAGCAATCAATAAGTATTCTTCAGCATAAGCATCAACAAAATATGCTCGTATCGTATGCATTTTGCATTCCAATATACATACATTGAGTTTGAAATTCTGACAAGCATCGAATATGTTTTGAGTGCCAAAAAGGAGTTTGGTAAAAGATTGCCTATTGTTTTGAATTTTGCCAATTTCCCCATGAGAGCCCATTCATCTGAGAGTCAGTTGATCTATGTATGTATGTCCATATGTCCATGTTTATTCGAACTTGTCAAATTATTTCGTCTGCTGCCCAAATGATTCCTTTACCCAAACGAACTCCTTCTACAAAAATTAAATCAAGTAGTCCCTGAGTTGGATAGATATTTGACTTTATGCCACAACCCATTTGAAATCTCAGTCTATCACTGAACTTCCAAGTGGAACAAGCTCCAAAACAAAAAACACACACACAAAAGGTAAGAATGAAATTAAACCCGAATAGGTCCGAAATTAGTGCCACATTTGTGGGGGATTTTCAGATGTTTTTGGTGCGCAGGCAGCTGAAGCTGCACAACAGTCGGACAGCGATGGAGCTGATGAGGTCCATCGCTAGCACCCAGCCATCGATTTGGTTGGGCGATGTGAGTGCACCGCTACTGCCACAGCCGCCATCACAGCCCATCGGTACGCCACCTCAAGTCCCCATCACGATGGCAACAGCGGCGGCAGGAGGGGATAAAAAGGCACCACCACCCAAGGGGGGTCCTGGTCCACCGAAGGAGCCACCGAAAGCGCCGCCACCAGCGGCTGCTGAGAAGAAGAATGCCGGGCCACCACCGCCGCCGCCCAAACCCAAGGAGAAGCGTGTCAAGAACTTTGAGATCTACCGCTGGCAGCCCGGCGAGCAGCCCAAGATGCAGACCTATCCCATCGATTTGTCGCAGTGCGGCGCCATGGTGCTGGATGCTTTGATCAAGATCAAGAACGAGGTCGACCAGACACTGACCTTCCGCCGCTCCTGCCGTGAGGGCATCTGTGGCTCGTGTGCCATGAACATCAACGGCACCAACACCCTCGCCTGCGTCACGCCCATTGACCAGAGCCTGGGGGGACCGTGCCGCATCTATCCATTGCCGCATCTGTATGTGGTGCGGGATCTGGTGCCGGACCTGAGCCAATTCTACGACCAATACCGCTCCATCCAGCCCTGGCTGCAGCGCAAGAATATCGAGAACGAGATGGGCCGGGCCCAGTATCTGCAGTCCCTGGAGGATCGCAACAAGCTGGATGGCCTGTACGAGTGCATTCTGTGCGCCTGCTGCCAGACCTCGTGCCCCTCCTATTGGTGGAACAGTGAAAAATATCTGGGACCGGCCGTCCTCATGCAGGCCTTCCGATGGGTCATCGACTCCCGTGACGAGGCCACCGATCAGCGGCTGTGCTTCCTGCAGGACCCCTGGAAGCTGTATCGCTGCCACACCATCCTCAACTGCACCAATACCTGTCCGAAGAACCTCAATCCGGCCAGGGCCATCATCCAGTTGAAGCAACTGCTGTCGGGGGCCAAAAAGAAGAACAAGCCGGAGCTACAGACCGATGCTCTCTTCTTGGGCAAGTAATGGACACGTCACAAAAACACACTGACACCTGACACTGTTAACGATGTCCTACACCTATTACCTCATGCTAAAAACACTTAATTGCAAGCGATATACAACACTGTTTATGAATGCCTACAACACTAAATACTAACTGTAGGCGGAACGGAAACGGAACGGAACTGAAACGGAAAGGAACGTATTACATAGCAGTAAATATCGAAAGCTCAACAAACTTCACGATGTTCAGCACTGGTGATGGCTTACAACACTTGATTCCAACGATATTTAACACTGTTTATGAATGCAACAATTACTTAACGTAAGTCAGAGACATTTCTATGCAACTGACGTTATAATGACACTCTTAACTGAATCCCTCACAGAGTTTTAAATACTTCAGACACGTAATACTCACGATATACAACACTGTTTATGAATGCCTACAACACCTAACACTCCCAATAAACTGAGTTGAAACGGAAAGAAACGGATTACATCGAAATAAACAATTAACAATAGCTCAACAAAAACTTACCGATATACAGTACTTACACACTTAATCATAACGATTTTCAACACTGTTTATTAGAGCGTTATGAGTACTTAACGTAGGAAATGACATTGTTATAGTTGTGACGTCAAATCGACACTACCAAACCGAATGCCAGACTGAAGAACTAGTGAATGCTGAAAACACTTAATGGTAACGATATGCAACACTGTTTATGAATGCTTAAAACACTTACTTGGAACGATATCTAACACTGTTTAAGGTCTACAGCTATGAATGCTGAAAACACTTAGCACGACATGCAACACAAATAAATGTTACTATACTTGGAATATCTTACACTTATAATACAAAAACAAGCAATGAAATGTATTGTATATGGTATAGGCATCGTTAACACAACAATTAACTGTAAAAAACTGTACCAAAAATATCAAAGATTACAATGAAAATGATAAGCATCAAAAGATCTTGAATGTGGAAGTGGGGGGACAAGTCTCTGTATTCCTGGAATGTACATTACAAGATGTACAATAAAAGATAATTATGGATATGGAATAATTGGTTCTAAATGGCTTTAAACTTAGCCACAATTAAAAATTGCCATAGCTTCGTTGGCTGAGTGGGTTAAAACCAATGACAAAATGCAAGCCCAAACAGTGCGAATGACTTTGAACGTGAATCACTTTTGAACCAAGAGAGATAAGCTCACTCCTAATCTCTCTGTGTATCTCTCTCTCTCTCTATCTCTCTTTTGAGATCTATCTAGTATTCTATTTTCGCATCCCACAGTCATAAATTGTGTGGGTGAGAGAGCGTATACGTATACGTTTGTATTATGCATTGTGAATCGAATTCATGGACAAAGAGAGTCTATGAATCATATGGCGATCGAGGTTATTGATGGGGTAGGTCTGTTTTTTACACCAAAAGCTTATATTATTTGGGAACTAAATCTTCTCCACCGATATCTATAGATTAAAGAAAAGAACAGTTTGCAAAGCTAGATTTTTTTATGGAACTTTGCTAGTTGTGTCTCCATGTAGGATTATATTTTCCTGAAAACATTTATCCATTGGTATTGAAATTGCAATTATTTTTGCTAATGCTTCGATCAAGAATTTCCCGCAGTCTGTTTAGATTCGTTTAAGCAGAATAAGTATACATATTTGAATGCTCTTTCTATTACCCAGGCAAGGGTTAAGCAAAAAAAAAAATTATTATAAAACCCTTTTTATCAATCGAATCGAATCAATACCCATCGATCAATCGAAGATACTAAGAACTATCACTGGGGCACCATGGTACATACGGAATGAAAATATCCATAAAGACTTAAATGTAGGATCAGTTGAAGATGAAATTGCCAAGGTGAAAGCAAAGTATCAGGCCCTTAGGCCCATCCTAAAGCGACTCTTCGGCGACAGCCATACACTCCCGCCTCCCCCACCCAGCAATAATACTTAGTTAGGGACGTACTCTAAAAATTAGGTGTAATAATTAAATGAATGTATTAGGCTAAGATTTGCATAATTGCTCGTGAGTCTCTAATAGGGAAGATTAGATAAATAAAATACCGTAAATAAAAAAAAAAATATATAAACCCTTAAATCCTTCGAAACGTTTTTGTCGAGGCACTTCGGAGCTTCGGAGATGCTTCTTTCTGGCCGCTACACTCTATGAGGTTATGGTATAACACGAACACAAATATATAGAGTAAATTACCTGTAGTACCTTTATTTTAAATTAGTTTTCAAAGCTGGTAGGCAATTTATTGTTGGCATTATTCACCTTGGACATGTCTACCCTCCATAGCTTCTATAGATAGTAACTACGTATGCATATCTTTTTTCCTCATTCCAAAGCATACAAAGCATGTATAACAAAATTGCTTTAGTAGGGAAGGGTATGTGTGATTCGACGGGAATCGTTTGCTGGCTTTCCTAGAACTTTTTCCTAGAAAAGCTTTTAGCCCTCTCTCTCTCTCTCTCTCCTTCAAAACTGTCTCTCTATTTTGGCTTAACCGATTGAATATGTAAATGAATGGGTCGCAAATACAAATGTAAATATAAAAATATTTACACATCCGTAAGTGGGTGGCAGTGTGTGTTTGTGTGTGTGTGTGTGTGTGGCAACACCCACATTCCTGCCTCCTACAGAGAAATCAGTGCTCACCACGTGCGCGCCTCCAACCGAGAGAGAGAGAAAGAGCGAGAGGGAGCGAGAGGGAGAGAGAGAAACCGAGTTGAATCGACGAAAAAGGTAAGGCGGCTGATTGGGTACGTAACCCTCTGAGCGGATGCTGCAGGCAGACCCTGATAATACACTGCCTCACCTCTATGGGGGAATATACCATTCCGGCCAAAGTCTGAGCGGGAGCGTGAGCTTTTGTCGCCTACGTCACGGCCAGGCCAAGAGAGCGCTTTCGGACGCCTACAAAACAACCCCAAAGCGGCATCGCGAATCAGTCGCAAAAAAGTTTCCGTCGCCAGAGAACGCCAGCAAACAAAAACAGGCAGCAGTCAAAACCCAAAAATCAAAAAATCAAATCGCAATAAAATATAAATTAAATAAATATACAAAAAAAATTAATTTATTTTGCAAAAAAAAAGAAGTAAGATTTTGTTGCTGTACATAAACATATTTACATAGATATATTTTTTTTGTTTGTGTGTGATTGTGAGAGAGTGATGTTGTTGTTGTTGGCGACCGAGAAATGTACGAATGCTGAGCGTCTTCTTCTACACCCCCTATGTCCTGCTCCCGCCCCCTTCTTCATCAGCATCTCCACATCCCCTTCGGCGACGTCATTTGACTGTTACTGCTGCTGCGGCTGTAGTTGTTGTGGCTGTTGTTTGTTTGCTCTTTGATCCTATTATTTAAACGAATTAACTTTCCAACCAAAAGGCAACCCGCGCGAGAATCCAAATCCCCGCCGCACACACGCGACGCCCGCCCGCCCCCCGAAACAAAACGAGAGGAGAGGAACGGTGACAGGAACAAGGAACAGGAATAGAGAGAGAGAGAGGCAAGAGGCACGAGGCACGAGGCAAGAGGCAAGAGGAGGGCTGGGCGCAAACTAGAGGAGCGGTAGCAGGATAGCAGGACACACCACCCACACCCACACCCACACACACCACCCTCACACTCAACAAAGATGTCATGGAGATATGCGGTAAGTGGAAAGAGCGGAAAGAGAAAAGTGGGGAAGGGGAAAGGAGAAAGGGGAAGAGTGGGCAGGGGGCAGGGGGCAGGGGGCTCCTTCCTACGAAAAAGAGTAACTAAGCAAACAAACAAAAAAAGAAACAGAGGAGCATGGCAGTGGGTGTGGGCGAGAGAGCAATCATAACGGGATGGTGAAATGGGAATGGAAATGGAAACACTAACAAATGAGTGGGCTGTGTGAGGGGTAGGACCTAGAAACCCAGAAATCCTAACGGTAAGAATGCTCGAAGACGAGTAACAAATCAGTGGCTGGGCAGGAGAGCAAGCAAGCGTTGCAATGGAAACATAACTGTAGAGTAGTGGGAGAGAGCGGAAACACAGGAGAGCGGGAAAACGGGAACGCAGCAGAATAGCCACAGGAGAGTGGGAGAGCAGGAAGAGTAACTGAAACTAGAAATCGTAACGGAAAGGTTTAGGATCAAAGATAATTTCAATTAAGGTGAGGCTTTTGACGAAAAACCACTTTAACGTTAGTCATACCCAAAGACAGGCAAAGGACGAATAAAATATTATGTATAAATATCCATGGGTGATGTTTACATTAATATAATTGCTGGGATTAAATCACTCATTTATTTCAGTGATTGAATGTGATTCTAGGGCTTTAAGTGTCAGAAGCGTCAACACACCCGCTCTCCCACGTTCGTCTCGTCCCTTTCCCTAGAGATCTTTTGAGTTTTAAGCCAACATTTTTATTTTATGAAATTTCCTACGGGTTGGACCAATATATCAACCAAAACAAACCGATCTGCTATCGTCTGGCAATTGGATTTCAACTGGAAAATATACCATCTCCAAATGACCTTCCAAAAATGTCCCTTAACCAATGGCACCCACCGCATGTCATATGTACATACATATGTATAGCCTCACCTTGTATTAATAAACCTTGTAAGGAAGGGAAAGGGAGTAGATGAGAGTCGGAACGAAGGCTAAATTGTCCAGAGCATAGCGAATGGGCATGGTATGGAAGAGTTCTCAACGAACAACAGACTGAGTGAAGGAGCATCTCACTGTCAAAGGATGAGTGAGTGGAGAGAGTGGAAGGATAGGCAGACTTTTCGACGGCTCGGGCTCCATTTTCCGGGCATCTGTCTGAAACAGCTGATGACAAGGACGATGCTGTTGTTGATGATGCTTTTGATGATGATGATGGGGGGATGGACCATCGAAATGACCTTGACTTGCCTTCTTTTTTGATACTCTCACTCTCATTCTCTCGTTTTTCGGCTATGTCTCTGTCTCTGCTTGTGTGTGTGTGTGTGTGTGTGTGTGTGTGTGGTTTGCTCTGCTGACCCAATTTGCCTGACAGCCACACACTTCACCTATAAACCACCGAAAAAAAACAATGAGGAAAATAGAATTTGTACTATTTTCTGTGGGGGACAGTGAGAAAGAGAGAGAGAGAGATGGAGGTAGAGAGAGAGAGGCCTTGGCATGCCAAACCACCATCCACGTTTCTCATGCCCATGCCCATGCCCATGCCCATGCCACCCATAGCCCCATCCCACTGAAGGCCTCCAAATGCAAATGCAAAGTTCAAGTGCCTTTTCAAGGCGTGGCAGGCAGAGGCCCGGCCTCCAAAAACCACCAACCCATCAACCCACTAACCCACCAACATGTGGGTCGTTAAATAACTAAATATCTTTGTGTCTTTTGGCATTTATCAGGAGATTATCTTCTTGGCATTAAGTTTGCGTTTGGGCGGTGCCCCAAATTCCGGGCGGAGGGTCTGTTATCCAAGTTGCAGGTTGCCGGGCATGGCCTTGGTGGTGTACAACAGCCCCTTCATAGAGGTTAATCGCTGTAAAAAAAAGAGAGTACAACATTTTACTTAAATAATTTAATGTTAGGCCTTGTTTTCAGGCGATCTAATGAGCTATGGTCCATAGATCAACGAAGCGTTCGTTTAAGGAAAGAAATTGTATGAAAAAAGTGTTCTATCGGGGGACAAAAAAGGCCACACGAAGATGTAAATAAATTTATTTGGAAGGCGCTTTTTAGGAGCTTCAATTTTGAAGATCAAAAACGATAGCGAATAGATAGGATGTCAATATATCAGACACTTCGATGAAAATAAATGTTGCATTATTTTTGAAGATTTTTTTACAATTAATTATCAATTCCCTAAAGTAATCCTTGGTTCGCCGAATGGGCTTTCCCTTTTTGTAGCTTTCGGTTTTTGAGGGTAGATTTCTCTTATAATAATCTTTAATTTAGCAATTTGTGGAAGTGGCTCTGATATTTGGTATAGAAAGCATTTCAAGTAAATTTGATTGATAAAACTTTTTATTAGAAAAATATATTTGAATGTTTTACACTCTACACTTTATGGATCAGAAAACCCTTCGTTGCATCCCTTCCCTTCTTTCTATATATATCACGGATTTCAAAAGTAAATATTGGAATTAAGCCCCAAAGGGTGGGGGGGGGTGCATAGGGTCCACCCTTAAACGAAACGAATTAGTGACGCTGCACGCTGCACGGTATTCGATTGACCTCAAAGAGCGGATCAATGGTAATGGGCTTTTGTGGGCTGCCGCTGCCTGCCCCCTAAAGCTGATTACTCATACGCCGCATGGGCCAATTAACTTAATTATAAAACGAATATTTCAATGGGGAAACGGGAACGGGAACGGGAACGGGTGGCACATTCCAGGTGGCATCCTCCTATTAAATAAAATCTCAAAGTCGAATGCAAAAATAAAAAAAATAATAAAGAATTAATTAAATCGCTGGGCACCACCAAACCCTCATTCAGAGTCAGTGAAGCGTATTAAGCTGATGTCTCCCCTTCCATCGCCTCGCCTCAAATTAAATGCCGGTCGGTTGGAGGGTGGGGGGGGGGGGGGGGGGTTTGCTGCTTCCGTGTAATGGCGATTGTAAGGTATATATATATATATACACATTAAATACATATGCACATACATATATATGTATGCCAAAAAGCTTTGCTAAAATGTCAATGTCATCAACTGCCTCTTTTGTTTTTTTGCTGCTGCTGCTGCTGTTTCTGTTTTGGCTCAGTGTCAAGCCCATCCAGAGCGCTAATTGAACAATCGATAGAGCATTGTACACTTTTTAGTTTTAGTTTCCTACTGGCAGATACGTAGATACAGATATAGTATCTGTAGCTACAGCTATAGCTGTGGGCGTGTCGCTGGCGCTATCGCAGCTGTTGCGCCTCATTGAGCAAAAAAGCGAAAGGCAATGCGCGCGCGATTTTAAACTCTGGCTCTGTGGCTTGAAGACAGAAGCAACCGATGGCTGGCTGGCGGGCTGGTTGGCGGCCACTTCAAAGCGTTTCCCCATTTGGCTCGAACGGAAAAACTCGACCCAAAAGTGTATTAACAAAGTGGGAATGTACGACCCAGTATATTCTGTTTCAAGGTCAAAGCTAGTAGATATATTCTGAGAGCATTGAAAAGCATTAAACGAAAGGGAGGAGTGGCTCAAGGGGAAGCCGTGTAACTATGGAAGAAAGTTTATCCTAAGGGAAATGAAGAATATATAATGAGAGGGAATAAGAGAAGGAACTACGTATAAAAGAAATATCCAGAGATATAAATAAAGATAATTATGAGTTGGTGAACTTGAATGTGTAGGGTAGGGTAGGGTAAGAGAAGTACGCTTCATTTAATATCATCATATAAATATTCAAAAATATCCATAGATCTATAAATCCATATATTTTTAACTCAATTATATCTCAATTTTGAAAAGAATTGCCGCTGTTTTTAGTGCAATTTTCAGCTTAAAAATATATAAGCTCCCTCTAGTTGAATGGAATTATAGAAAAAAGGAAAAAGACTCATAAAACTGACACTCACATTTTAACGTGCTGAAAACTTTGCAACTTCAAAGCATTTCTAGAATGAAAAAGCAGCCCAGCCCCCGCATTAGCCACAAGTTTGCCCTTTCTGTATTGTGTGTGTTTTTAATGAGCCATTTTTAATGAGTATCTCCTCACATTACCAGTTGTGGGAGATCCATTACCTTAAAGCACTCATCGTTTCCTCAGTAGTGGTGGATGTGGATGCGCCCTATTCATAACCTTCAGTCCCATCGCCTGATTTGCATTTCATTTGCATAAATTGTCGTTCGTTCGTTCGTTCGTTCGTTCGTTCGTTCGACGATGATGATGATGAGGTTCTGATGAGCATTTATCCGAGTACGAAGTAACATCATTCGTTGCATTTTGCACACCTTAAAAGGCCAATTAAGAAGCACAGGAACTGCGCATTAAATTGAAAACTTTGTTTTTGCAATTATTTTCTCTGCTTCTGTTGCTGTTTTTGCAAATGAATTAAAATCCGAGGGAATCAGAAATTTTTCATTCCGTTTGTCGTTGCCAAAGTTTTTTCCCTCATTGGGAAATCGCCTCAGGAATGTTTCTCGGCGTCTTTCTCTCTCTTTCTCTCTCGCTGTTGTTGTTGGCTTTTTTTTTTAATAATTGTCTCTGAATTTTATTTACTTTTTTTGGAGGTAAAGGGTTGTGTTCGTTGACTGTTTAATCAATAAAAATCTGCAGGTGCCTCTGCTTCTGCTTGCATGTCAATGCAATTTGCATTTGTCGAGTGGCCCCAAAAAAAAAAAAAGAACTCTGCATATATTTATATGTAGATTTGTTTTGCTCAGACAGATATATGGATATCTGTCAGATATACTATGCATACAGATATAGATTTATCAATGCCAAAAATGTTCTCGTAAATTTGTTAATTTTCATTTGGTTCATACATTAATTGTTTCTCTTGCTCTTGCTGTTGTTGTTTTTGGTTTGATTTTCCAACATTTGGACGTTGAGAATTTTCACACATGAAAAATGATTTTTTTGGTTGATTTTTTTTCGGTTTTCTGTTTTTCTATTTTTGGGGGAATTTTTGATGTTTGGTTCTTCAAGGCCAAAGGCAAGTAAATTGCGATACAAATTTAATAGATGCTTCAACGAATAAATGTACATACATAAGAATGGTTTTAGTATACGATTCAAAATGTTAATTATAATTTTGTTGAAAGTATTTTTTGTAAGATAACTTTTTGATTTATTTTTAAAGGATTTTTGTAGGAAATTTACATGAAACTCTTGACAACTTGTTAAATGGAATTTTATTAAAAGTTCATATGAGAAGAACAACAAATATAATCTGTGTTAGTAGTGGAAAATAGTTTTGGAATGAAAGGATATTCTTTACCAGATGGGAATGATGTGGTTCAATGCAGTAAAAGTGTTACCCTAAGAGAGGGATCCGAAATTTAATTACTATAAAATCCACAAAAAATATGCAACTGATTGGTTTTCGAAAGAAAATAGATTTCGAATTCTCTCAATTATAAAAGAAAAATTCCCAGTACAGATCTCCTATACATATTTCAAATTATCTCCCTTTTTTTTTACCATTAACACGTGAACGTCTCATGTAACATTCCATGCGAATGGTCTGCTAATTAAATTGGAGCATTAGTTGTTACCATTGATGGACATTTCCTTTGACCGTTGCCCAGACATTTTTCCTGTAACATGGAGCAACTGGTTCACGCTATGAGCAAAGCCACACCAGAGGACCAGTGGCAGAACCAGAAGGCAGCTTGTACACCAGGAGAATAATGCATAATGCAGTCATCTTGATGATGTCATAATCTGATTTTGATTATAGCTGATGTCCTCGACCACCTACTGGGCACACACACACACACACACATTAAACACCCCTCCAATCAGCCGCACAATCCACAATCGCATGACCCACATCCGCTCCACATGTTGCAGCGCAGGGCAGGGCAGCGCAGCGCAGGTTACGTGTTGCAGGTTGCACCATCCACCCATCCGTTCGCTGATTGTGGCAACAGTTGTGGCTGGGCCGGGCCCAATGCTTGACCTCTGGGTTGGGTGCTGACACAGTTGCTATCGCTTTCGCTGCTGCTCGCTGCCAGGAAGTGGCAGGAAGTGCCACAAACTAAATAAAAGAGCAGAAGAACTGTGCCACGAGCGAGAGGATAGGACAGCAAACGGAACGGAAGACTAGACAATCGCAATTGCATTACTACAAATGAGGGGTGGGGGTGCAGCAGTGGATCATATAACAATTACAGACGTATATGTAAATCGTTTAGATATCGGCTTGAGCCTTGGATGGGCGCCAAAGCCACCCTTTGGGCAGCCTTGTGGTGGGTGGAAAAATGGAATTAAAACTTGCGACGAAATATGAAAGGCTTCTATCAAAGTTAATCCATAAAATCTTATTTATTTCTTATCTTATTTCTCTATCTGGGATTTTTTCTTATTTCTTATTTATTATTTTTATTTTATTTATTTTTATTAATGGTATGGAATGACTTCTAGATTTCATGGTCTACTCTTTCTTGTGGAATTCTTTGCAAGGTGGAAACACTACTGGGTTATGACTTCTGCATCTCTGAGGAAAGCAAAAATCAGGCTCTGAACTTCCCAAATCTACTCTTCAAAGTTATACTTAGTAAGAGACCTAAGACCCAAGCTATGGCCATTTTTTCTCATTGAGAGAGCATTCGCTTTTTTTGTTTGTTTTGCGTGTGTGCTGGCATACCTTTCAGGTGAGAGTCGGCGCTGAATGTTGTTGTTTCTATAATAAGAAACACAAAAACAGTGTTGTTGGCATTTTTCGCTAACACACGAGTCATTCACTCAGTCAGTCACCCAGTCGGGTCACCCATTGGGAATGGCTATGCAGATATAGTTCAATATATTCGATGTACACATATATTTTATACATATATGCTGGCGATTACGGTGCACTCAAAATATCAATCATGGTTTCTATTTAACTTTATTTTCCCCCTTTTTTCCCCCTTGTTCAGATTTTAGCTTTTTGTGATACGAGTATCTGTCGTGTCCAGCTAATTGTCTTGTCATGCGGGTTGTGGGTACCCTTGGGGAGAATGTTGTGGGGTGGGGGGTATGAGTCATACAAAAAAAAACAACAACAAGAAATATTTTGTGGGCTTCAAGTATTTCCAATACATTTTCTTGAATAATTTTCTCATTTGAGTGTGTGTGTGTGTTAGTGTGTGTGCTTTTCTGTTTTCTGAGTAATTTATTCTCTGCGGTATTTTTAGATACAGAGAAAGACACTGAGAGTGATGTGTGCTGTGTGTGATTTTTTTTTTTGGGAGAGTAATCTATCTGCTGGGGGTATATAATCGTACTCGTATTCGTTCTGGTACCGGTACGATATATGTACGTATACATACATATATAAAAAAAAGCAAAGCAAGGGGGACAAGGTCAAGGCGTTGTCGCCTACTAGCCAAGACACATAAAACTTGGGGGCGATGTCTCACCTGCCTGCGACGCCAGAAAGCTTTTACTATTTGTTCTATCTATTTCCGTTTCTACCTGAATGATAGTCTATAACTTGGTGCGGATCTATACATAGATCTATATGTAAATTTGTAGCAGATATTTTCGATATTAGATTACTTGCGTGCAAAATGGTTTCCTTGGTCTTGAAAGTCGTTTATGACTTGATAAATTGAATATAAATAATTTTAAATCAGTTCTTAATTTATATGGCTTGTAGAAGATTTAAATGAGCTTACAAAATTTTTTAAATAATTTTTATTACAGTTCTTTACCAGTTTTAATTGTCGTTACAATTTTCTCAAACACTGGACTTTTCTTTTAAGAAAAATATTATATAGTCTTGTCATTGATAGATCCTTCGAAATTGGGTCCTGCATTTTATTACCAAATACAAATTTTTTGTCTGTTTAAAGTTTATTCCTATTTTGTTAAATATTAAATATTTTTTTGCGTTTGAATATCGATTTTTGTTTTCAGCTTTCAACGGACAGATACACCAGCAGTATCGGCGATAGATATAGTCCGCACTATTATCAGGTTTGTTGTCTACTCACACACACTCAAACAAATAGTGCATGAAGGATCGATAACGATAACGATAACGATCGAATCGATAGATTGTGTTGTGCTGTGTATATTGTTGTTGTCTGTGCTGCTTGTTGACCCTAACAAAGAGTGAGCTAAAATATGCTTAGATCTCTTGGATTCCAAATGCTTACCAAAGTGCTGTACTAACTTAATTCTGTTGTCTATATGTGCACTTCGATCGTGTCTGAAGCTAAAGGCCAAAAATAATTTCCAACACGCACATTTTGTTCTTCCTTTTTTCTTTTTTTCAACGGTTGACAACGGATTTAGAGCAATTAACCCACACACACCTTGCATACCCCATGTAGATTTTTTTTGCTCTGCTATATATAAAGAAAAAGATGTATAAGTATATAAATAGTAGGAATATATAGCAAACGAAAGATAGATCCGTCACAATAGATCAGACAGGCAGAATGTTTGAGAACTTTTTGCAGGCGACAGACAAATTCTTATTCGATTTTCGTTTCTTGTTTCTCGATTCGGGAGGTTTCTGTCAGGGTCGCATGCCGCCAGAAAAAGCAAAAGTTTTCACGAAATGTGGGGCCCCTCGCCCCAAACATGTGATTGTAGTATTATGACAACTGGTAGACAGTCGATAGCCGGGAACGACAACAAAACAACGAACAGCGAGAGAAAATTGAATGAAATCTGAAAATGATTGAAAGAAAAATACTCGAATTCGTATTCGAGGGAATTGCAATGGGTAAAAGTTTTCACTTTCACGGCATGAAAATGACCCTGAAAAAATGGCACAAAACACTACAACAGAAAAAACTCTAAGCCCCTGATCTCTGCTCTCCCCCCCCAACCGACTGATTTGTCAACCCAAAAATTGCGACCTTCGCCTTTGCCATAAATCTGCTGCCCAAGCATTTTTACTTTAGTTTTCCTTTGTTTTTGTTGCGTTTCTGTTTGTCAATTGTCGCAGGGATTGTGATGTCATGAGCAGGCGGTTGGGTGTTGGTTGGTTGGGGTGGGGGGAAAGTTATAATCCTGCCAAAATGTTCACAAAATCTAATTACATACAGTAAATGGCAGCACTGACTGGCGTTGAAGTTGAAGGTCTCGGCCAGGGCAGGGCAAGGCTTTCTTCATGGTCAGAGAAGAGCAGTCTGTTTAAGGACATTTTCCTACAGAAGAGAAGAGTTTGCTTTTGTCAGAAGGAGCTTCCTTCAAGAGAAGAGCCAAGAGAGTGTGCCCCCAAAAACCCATTGCGACTGTTTCAAAATGAAGACGGCCTTGGGAGCCATTTGGTTTGAGAAACTTTTGTGTGTTTATTTTTATATCCTGACCTTTTGATCCTACGATTTGCTCAGACTTTCTTCTGTTTCGTTCTCCTTCGTTGGTTCAAGTGCATTAAGTGCATTGGGTATTCCCTGTTCCACAAGCAGCATTCGAATGACATTAAATCGCTGTATAAATGTACCCATAAGCGAAAGGATACATTCGGTTAGTTATTAACAAGCGCCGTGCTTTCTTCTTGTACTAAAACGAAACTTAAATTAAGCCAAAACTTGTTAATACTTGTATGATCTTGAAGCATGAAGAACATAAATCGTTTCCCGAGTGATATTAATATTATGTGCCATGTGTCTTGTGGTTTATGTTTGCAGTCGCCCAGCCGCTTGGAGAACTCCGAACAGACCACAGGACGACAGCTGCAGCGTGTCCTGCACTACTCAATGGCACCCACACGGGCACTGCCCGGCCTGAGGCGGGCCGAATGCGCCATCCATGATGTTGACTGCGACGAGGTCTATCCGGGCATCTACATTGGCGATGCGTAAGTTGAGAGTGCAATCTTTCTGAGGTTTCACCCAATCAATAGATGGTGGCTTTTTCGTTTTTTGACAGAGCGGCGGCCAAGAACAAGACGTATCTGAGAATGATGGGCATCACGCATGTCCTGAATGCCGCCGAGGGCTGTCGCTATGGCCAGGTAGACACCGGACACAGCTACTACCGGGATATGCCCAGCATTAGGTGAGTCGCGAAGCGTCTTCCATCCTTCCAACAAAAGGCAACAACATGAACAATGGAACAATCCAATATTCCAATTCAAAATTTGTTCATATTTTGTTTTAATTTGAAATCGTTTTTGATTTGACTTTCACTTTCTTCACACACTTCAAAATGTATTCTTTTCTTTCTACTCCACCCCCCCTCGAATATCAACCCCTTCCGTCCATTCATCTATCTCCATTTGCCATCTCATTATGATTTTGGCCTCATCTGTGTTGTTGCTGTTTTGTGGTGTATGGATGTATGGATGGTGTGCATGTGTGCTGTGGTGTGTGTGTTGTGTACCACAGACGGAACCATAAGGACTGTGTTTTTAGGTACATGGGATTCCCGATGATCGATGCCCCCACGACAGACATCTCGCGTTACTTCTATGTGGCTTCCAAGTTCATTGACAGCGCCATCAGCAGCGGAGGTGAGTACTGGGAATTGCCATTTGGGAGAAATGGGAGTGCAATGTACAGCAGTGCACCTCGGTCGGAATGCGTGTCAAAACGAAATACAACGAGTGCAATAGAATAATAATTTATAAATATGGAATAAAATAATAATACAAAATGAGGAGTAAAAGCCAGCAGAAAATATTCTGAATAACTCTCTGACCAAATAATATTTACAGGTATATTTTGCCTTAATTTGTATGTATATGAATTTTTTATACCCGTACTCAAAAAAGAGTTAAGGGGTATATTAGATTTGTGGTAAAAGTGGATGTGTGTAACGCAAAGAAGGAAACGTTTCCGACCCCATGAAGTATATACATATATTCTTGATCAGCATCAATAGCCAAGTCGATATAGCCATGTCTGTCTGTCTGTCTGTCTCGATGAGCGCCTAGATCTCAGAGACTATAAGAGCTATGGCAACCAAATTTGGTTTCCAGACTCATGTGATATCACACTGCTACAAGTGTATTTCAAAAATTTGCCCCGCCACCTTCCGACCCAAGAAAATACGAAAATCTGTGGCAGGCACAATTTTAAAGATACGATAAAATTGAAAACGCAGTATCGTAGAGAATGACCATATTTACCAGATTGCCGAATCTGAATCAGATCGGATCATAATAATTTTCAGTTGGTTTCCCCGCCTCCTTCAGCAAGAGGCCCACTACTCATTCTCTCTCTCGCTCGCACGCTCTGCCTCGTTATGTACGCGAGCGCCCTCTAGCTGAGGAGATTTAGAATGTAAATGGTACATTTACAATGTACATGTTAGATGTAGAATATACATTGTAGATGTATATGTAGATAGCAGATGTAGCAAAAAAAAATTTTTTTTTAATTCTAAAATTTTAAAAAATCTTAAGCTCAAAAATGTATTCACTGACTGAGTACGGGTATAAGTAGAGTCGCGTCCCCAGAAGTGACTCACACGTTCCGTTTTCTCGTTCGTAATTTCTCGTTTATAGTTTTAATTGAAAAAACCATTTATTGAAACCTTTAAATGGAACCGAAGATGTTATAGTAATCGAAAAAAAAACACTGCAATAGCTGAGCATTTATTATCCCACTCTCCTTCCAGTTTACATTTTATTTGTTAATTGCAACTAATGTGTGTATATTTTTATAGGCAAAATTCTGGTACACTGCCTGGTGGGGATGTCCCGCTCGGCCACCTGTGTGCTGGCCTATCTGATGATATGTCGCAAAATGTCGGCGGTGGATGCGATACGCACGGTCCGGATGCGTCGCGATATTCGGCCCAATGATGGATTCCTGCAGCAACTGGCCGACTTGGACATGGAACTGAAGCGCAAGAATCTCTATCCCTATTAGGGATGGCCTTCAACAATACGAGTATTGTGTGTGAAACAAGAAAAAGCAATTGCAACCAAAGAGAACGAAAAAGAAGAGGCAACAACAAAACGCTGAATGATGTCGGGGCCTTTGTCTGGGGGGGAAATGATAATGATAATGCAATACGTTGTGGAGCTGGAACCCTTCCAAATCCAAAAATCCAGCAAACTAACCAAAAAAAAAAAATAATAATAATAAAATAATAATAATCATAAAAGGAAAAGAAAAAGTAATATTGAAAATGTTGAAAAATTGTTGTTCTAAACAGAAAAAAAATAGTTTAAAAGGCCCAAAAAGCAAATGACTTATAAATGGTAACTTGGTCTTCTGCATATGCAAAACATACACGAACCCGAAAATATATACATACATATGTATATTAGAAAAAAACCTGTAATCATGGCATATATAAATCGCTATATACATACAGACATACGTACATATATACGATATATGGGAATCAAGTTATCTATTCATTCACAGACAGACAGACACTTAGAGACCTAGATTGTTAGACAGACACGATCAAAAACAAATAAAATGAAAAAACAATACTCGTTAATTGGCGATAAAAAAGAATCGATATATATATATATATAAAGATATACATATATACACTTCTATATGCGATATATGCATTGAACCTATATATACCTTTTGCCTATACCCTAGACATACAGATTTATATACATGTATTCCTTACACCCATATATAGTATATAGTATATATTTATATATAAAAACGTATCTTTTTTGTAACGGTTCATCTTTGTTAGAGTTTTTTATTTGATCCCCATGTTAAAGCCCCAAACCCAGAACAAAACAGAACAGACTACTAACTCTGTTCCCTCCACCCACAAAAACACCAACCCACAACCCCAACTCCCACATATAACACATAGATTTACTATGTTTAAGAAGAGCTGAAAAACTATATAGAACAAGAAACAATGTATAGAATCGAAACCAGATACTGATATATAACTCGTGTAATGGATATACAAACGCATGCGTTATATACACCTATACCAACCACACTATATATATATATACATATACACCAAGTGTGAAACAAAGTAATAAAACCAAAAGAAAACCAAAAACAACTCATATTTTCTAGTACATGTATAATGATGAGCAAAACCAAACGAGAATCAACTAAAAACTAAAACTAATGTCTAAGAAGTGATTAATATAACAACAACAACAACAACAACAAAAAAACAAACAAATACAAAATAAAGAAAAAGAAAAACCAACAAATTGACATCAGATTGAAATTACATTTCGAAATGTGTTATTTGGAATCTTTTTCAAATGCTTTTACTATGTGTTTGGATTCAGGGACTCCAAATATTTATGTTTATTTATATATCATTTCTAAATTATAGATTGTGGAGTAGTAGATGCTTTTATTATGAGAGGGATCTGTGAATATATCTGCGACCATTCCTAGCTGAGTCTCCACGGATAGATGATAGATATAAAATTAATTTCTAAATTTTAGTTTTTAGTTTTAAATTCAATTCAAATTTCTGTTTGAGTCGCTTTTGGGGACTTGGAATTCATAATATGATTATACAAATTTGGATATACTCGTGTGTACGCATGTATAATAACATATAGGGTTCTATGAAAATCTACTTAAAGAAAAGTATTCCAATATGGTATCTAATTATGGTAGAGTAAGGGGCTCTACAAAAATTCATTCTGTATGATTTTCTATGATTAATCACTATTTAGGCGTAAAGATATTGTATGGTAGGTATAATGTGTTGCGGAAATCGAAAGACATTCATATTCAATCCATATTCCATTACCAAAAAAAATTCTCACCACGTTGCAGTGTGAAGAAAATTGAATTAGATTTCCCTCCCATTTCCCACCTCTGAAAGCATCTCTTTGGAGATTGTACGTGTGTGTGGGGTCTCTGGTTGGGGCCATTAGGTCGCCTGCTAACTGCTTGGAAACACCTGCAGCGGCATTTATAGTCTGTTATCTAGTGCTCTGCTCAGCGCTCTGCTCCAGAACCACTCCCGGAGTGGTACTTGTAATTAAAACAGATGATAACCCTGCCTGTTGCTACCTGCAGATGGAAATGGTAGATGGAACATGGAAGATGGGAGATGGAGAGAGCGCCCTGCTAACCGCATAGTTGACCCTAATTTGGAACTATCAATAACTGGACTGAGCAGAACTCTAAACAGAGCTCGAGAGGAGGCCACCGCAAGATGGTTTAAACAAGAAGATGGTTGGTTCGTGGTGGCGCACACAGTCAAAACAATAAAATTAATGTCTCCGCTGTTGGGGTTCACGCGCGGGTTCATGCGAGGGATCAGCGGGTGCCACTTAAGTGATCTCGAAATGGAATTCCATCTAACGAAAAAAAAACCCTAAACAGGTAGCAGTTGTTAAAAGTCGTTGAACAACAAATGGAAACAACCATCAAGACGATGACGACGATGATTCTCCAAAGTATAAACACTGTGACCTGCCTGCCCATAAGAAATATCCCACACTCCGAGGAGGAGTTGTACACGTAAGAGCGTGCATAAAATGATGATATTCATGACAATAAATGAGGACTTGTGATACATAATACTCGCACTATTGCAAAATTAAACGAGGAGGAACGTGTGAGTCGCTTCTGGGGACGCGACTCTACTTGTACCCGTACTCGGGGCGGGGCGAAATTTTGAAATATACTTGTAGCAGTGTGATCTCACATGAGTCTGGAAACCAAATTTGGTTGCCTTAGCTCTTATAGTCTCTGAGATCTAGGCGCTCAACAAGACGGACAGACAGAAATGGCTATATCGACTCGGCTATTGATGCTGAGCAAGAATAAATATACTTTATGGGGTCGGAAACGTTTCCTTCTCTGCGTTACACACATCCACTTTTACCACAAATCTAATATACCCGTTAACTCTTTTCTTAGTACGGGTATAAAAATTTAATGTAAACTAAGGGAAGTCCAACCTTAAAACTGAATGAAAATGCTACTGGTATATTCTGGAAGAAAGTGCTGATATTTTAATATTTACATTTAAACTTACAAATTTTTTTATCAATAGAGAGAGAGTGGAAATATTTTTAATATTTACATATATTATATATATTTCATATTTAAATTTAATATTTTTCATAATTAAATTAAATATTTCATAGTTAAATTTAATTATTTTAATATTTACATTCAAATATGTTTCATATTTAAATGGAATATTTTTCATATACATATGTATGTGTGTAAGTTAAATATTTTTCGCATTTAAATCTGTATATATAAAAAAGAATCCCTATTTCCCTTGGTCACGACATCGCGCGTGAACGACTGGACCTTTGGTTATTGTTGGTTATTGTCAGGAGAAGGTTCTTATAAAAGAAAAAATTAAGAAAATTGCGCGGAATACTCGAAAATTTAAGAATACTCCGAAAATGTTAGTATTGAAGCAGGCCTTTCCAGGGCTATCAAACGTGTGCTTGATTTTTTGTATGGAAGTGTTACATAAATCAAAAAATAAATTCAGTCGGTTAATACCGATTTGGCTAATTGTTTTAAAATATTTTAAATGTGCCTGTTTGCTGAAAAGAGTTAGTTTGTTTTGTTGGTCGGTTTTGAAAATTGTTTTGTGTGAGAAATATATTAATATATGTATACAGATTAATAAAGATGCTGCACAAGAAGATGGTTGTTCAAATATGAATGAGGAAGATCGGAAATCCGTACGAGAAATAATAACATGAAGCATCCATATGCGTAGCGGGAGACGGAATGGCGGTCGATCAACTGAAGATGCCGGAAACGGGAATGAAATGCTGTGTATTTGATACCCTCCAATTATTGCAAAAGCAAATTTGTGTTGAACGTATTATTCGACTCACTTCTCATCCATGCAACCACAATGTGCCACAGTGAAACGTGGCCGGGTACAGCTAGTGATATACTATAAAATATATTTAATTTCATTTATGTAATATGGGATATTTAAATAACATAAGCAGTCTCTTCACTTTGATTTTAATAATAGTAATTATAACAGTTAATATAAATATGAAACATATATGGTTCAAAATTTAATGCATTATATAACTATTTAAAGTGTTTTATTTTTATTAGATTTAATATTTTAATCAGGTGGAGCCATAACAGATCATGTTGGGTAGTAGTTTTGGTAGATTAATCACTGTAACAGAGCACCAGCATCTATAGAGAATCACCTCTGCACTTGGTAAATGATAGCCCCATGGATCTATAAATAAAATAATATTTAGTAAAATAATATAATAAAATAATTGTAGGCTTTGTATTTATATAGATAAAACACTCCGAAGAGTGTATAACATCTGCTTTAAAAATTTCAATGCAACCTCAACTGTGTCTCTCCCGCTTCCTCTCTGGTCAAATGTCAAAAGGCAAAGTCCAGCAGCGCTATAGAGGCTACCAAATTGGCGTCGGTGGGGAGGGGAGGGGAGGGTTAAATATGGTTAAACTAGTTTTTGGTGTTCCCAGGCCGATACCCCCCCAGACGTAAGCCGCTAAAAATCATTTTTCAAAAAGCACACACACTGAGGTCCGACCCAACCCGACCCGAACATTTCTGTGTTGCCACGGTATAGGGATCTTCCTTTTGTGACACATGTTCAGAGAGGCGGTTGTGGGGGCTGGGGGTGGGTAGAGGGGGATTGGGCAAATAGATGAGGACTCTATGCACATGAAACAATTATTATTATTAATAAGTTAGTTTTACTCCACGTGCTACCTACCCCCGCTCTGCTCTGCTCAGCGCTGCGCTGCTCTATGCTGCCCTGTGTGGATGGATACCCGGGAATTGCGTTACAAGATTAAGCATGAAAAATGTTATGAATGTTTCCTCTGCTATAATTAATCTTCATCTGGCGCTAGCTACATGTTTTGGGGATGGTAGCGGTAGCGGCTAAGCGGTACGAGTGGGGGTGGGGGCTATGAGTGTGGCTACCATGCAAAAGAGTTAAATAATTATAAGCACACATACGAGTATTCCACACACACTACACACACTCCACATGACTCCGCAACGCAACCCTTTGTGGCACTCTCCCTCCTCTATGGCTCGTCTCGTCTCGTCTCGTCCGTAAGCTCTACAAATAGTGAATGGCTCCGCAGCTGTGTCCGGGGTGTCCTAATAGATGGTTTTGTCATTGCTGCTGCTGTTGTGTGCACTTATTGTTGTTGGGGATTCACCTTGTTATTTCTCTGTTTGTGCACCTGCAAATGTGTGGAAATGTTTGATGCAAAGAAACTGAAGCACAACAATGGCTTCTGCCATGGGTACGGGCTGTATATTTCTGCAAATATAAATCATAGGAAAAAGGTATAAAATATAAAAACAACGAATCTAGTTAAATTGGCCGCTCTTCATGGATCACGTTGCGTGATCTCCTTTCCGCGGCCACGGGCATTCACATATCCCTGCGTGGAGCCGCCCATCTCAATATGTACATATGTATGTACATATATCCCTAGTCCAGACGCTCATCCTGACCTTTTGCTCCTTTTGGTGGCGTACATTCAGTACGCTAATCTTCTTCACCTATCGATGATGCTTTGATGTTTTTTTCCAGTACTAGTCTTCAAGTAAATAGTCGTAAATATTCATAAATATTAATAGTCATGCTCCCCGGATCCCCACACGACCATAGAAGATGGCAAACTTAGCCGCAAATCATCTAATAGAAAACCTCGTTGTTGTGTGTCTAGGGGGATTCGATATTCCGGATATTTTTACCGGTACCATTTATGAACAGGCCCTGCCGATGACCTAGTGGGGGAACACTTTTGGTAAATTTCCTCCTCAGACGTAGATTAAAACCAGACGAAGGGACAGGACGCAAGGACACAGGGAACAGCAAGATCCAACCAAAAATGTAGCATAAAAATTAAAAATAAAAACCTTAACACAAAAAAAG